TTGGAAGAAACCGGATGATGATGGCGGCTCACCCATCGACTATTACGAGATCGAAAAATTGGACCCTGTTACTGGTAAGTTAGAATTCAGCTTTGTTTTAGTCATCTATATTTGTGAATTGTTAATGTAGCTTATAAAGACATGTTCAACTCAAAAGTGGAATGATATAGAAGCCGTAGAATGTCAATATATGCATTTCACAATCGAATTGATGGCGTGCTATCGATAGGTGATGCCAGAACTGTCGGCTTATTTGAGAATTTGAGAAGAGTAATCGAGGAATCGAAAAATATATGTGAATTATAATGATAGTTTCCTATAGAATTGCTACCATGTGCCTTAAATGTATGGAGTTCCCAATTTAGTAATTAATTAATTACTACATAAGGTGATTATTAATTAATTAATAATAAATAGTTAATAATAGTGAACAAAGAGTAAAGTAATAGTGAGAATTACAATTCTCATACAAAATTATAGTCATACCTACAGGTATGATTATAATTTTATTCAATAAAACATCATTGTTCCAAATTTCGATGTAAGAATGAAAGGAATCATTAATTTCCGAAAGGAAAATTGTCCTTAAAAGTACGTATATTATTCGAATCGAATTAATTTTGATTATTATGTGTTGTTATAGGCCAATGGATTCCATGCGGTACCGCGAAGGACTGTAAGGCTAATATAACTGGCCTCCAGGAGGGCAAACCTTACAAGTTTAGAGTGAAGGCCGTCAACAAGGAAGGAGAGTCTGAAGAACTGGAGACGGAGAAACCGATCATTGCCAAGAATCCGTTCGGTAATTATAATAGTTATGATATGTACCAACAGTTTCAATAACATTTAATGGTGGTTCTTTAATCATAGTTTAATCGTGGCAGGTCATATACAATATTATATTTGAATCATCATTATTTAATTGTGGAAATAATATTTTACGAAGGAAACAGACCTGATAACCACGCGCGTCTTGTACAGTTGTTCCTATCCATGTTTTTATGTCTTTTAAGATAAAATACGGCAGCGCTATTTTAGGATTAGGTTTAAAGAATTTTATCCTCAAAAGTTTATCATTAAATACGTTAAATGAGTCAACATTTTTTTATGAATAAGAGTATTTGACAGTTGCTTACCCCATTAAAATTTAGTGTATTACGAAGTACAGTTTGATTTGTGTTCTATAGACGAACCCGGCAAACCCGGCAGACCGGAACCTCGTAACTGGGACAAGGACTTCGTGGAATTGGAATGGAGCCCGCCCAAAGACGACGGTGGTGCCCCCATCACTGGATACATCATACAGAAGAGAGAAAAGGGCGGAAGGTTTGTTTGTACATTACATCGGCGCTTCATGATGTTTAGTAATATTGAGAGATATTATGAGATACGTTAATATAATATAAATTCAAATATATTTGTAATTTGGGTTACAAACCTTAAATTTTAAAAACGACGATTACTGGATATCTTCTATCACAAGCAAAATTAATGATTCGCTGGTTACATCTTAAGTCACTGATTGAAATCTGTTTATTGAATTGTAGCATTTTAGGCTCTCCAAATTCATTAGTTGTATATGTAAATTACAAATTTTCAAACTGGAATTCGACTTTTTTTGCGGATTAAAAATATTCTATGTCCTTTCCCAAGGACCACTATATACGTGTATAAAATGTCGTTAAATTTGATTCAATAGTTTAGGTGTGAAAAAGTGACAGACGAGCACACAGAAAAAAGTTAATGCATGACTTGCTAAAGTCGATATAATCGATTGAATGAGAAAAATTTCAAGACTATCCTAATTCATTTATCAGGTCATGGCAGGATTGCCTCAAGACCAGTGGCGATAGACCTACTGGTCGCGTGACTGACGTAGAAGAGGGTCACGAGTACGAGTTCCGCGTGATGGCGGTCAATAAGGCCGGCCCCGGCGAACCTTCTGATCCCAGCAAATCTGTCATCGCCAAACCAAGATTCCGTGAGTATTTTTTTGGCGTCTGATACTTTTTTTTTACTTTTTTCGATTTTCATTAAATCATGACGTTTATAAAATATGGTCCTTCGAGCAGTATCTTGCAGCAGAATTTCATTGTTCTTCTTTGAACTTAAAATCGTATACAAAGCTATAATATGCATCATATTATTTTCTTTTAAATATTATGTGCAAATTCTAGTGTATTGAAAAATAAAACTGATTTATTAGCAGACCTGAACGTTATTGTATTATCAACTTTATGTTCTTTGTTTTTAAGTTTAAAAACAAAAGAACATTCTTGTAAATCTGAACACAAATTACGCTGATTCTTATTTATAAAATTAAAACTTATATTGATCTCAAGTAATCATTATCTGCGATTAATAAATTAGCCTATAACTCCAGGTTCATCGCAAAAAAATATGAGTAATTTATTAAAAAAATAATAATTAACTTTATAGTGGCACCGAAGATCGACCGCAAGTACTTACAAAAGCGTAAGATCAAAGTTGGAGAGACTCTCAAGATGGAAGCGGATGTTAAAGGAGAACCAGAGCCGACCATCACTTGGACCTTCAACGGTCAAGCAATCAAAACGGAGGAACGTCTCAAGATCGAAAACAAGGATTATCACACTTCATTCGTATTACAGAAGACCACTAGGGCGGATACTGGCAAATACGTGGTCACCGCTAAGAATGACTCTGGGACTGATACTGTAGAAGTGGAGGTTTCTGTTGTCAGCAAACCAGCTAAACCGAAGGGTCCACTCAAGGTAAATTAAAATAATTTTCAAATATTTTATTTTGTATCTATAATGCTACCCTCAATTATATGGACCCTATAATAAAGCAGGTAATATTACTTACACTTCGCAGCGTAAGTGGGACAACATTAAGTGACAAATGAGAGCGGGACAGTAACACTTTATCACGTAAAGTCTACAAGAACGCTCATGCTAGGCTGGCTGCTGTTTTTATGTAACCAAGAGTTTTATGGATTTAGATGGAAATAAGATGAAGTTGACAAGGAATACGACATTTTCTTAACATTAGTCGATTCATCATTATCAACTAGCCTTTACACAGGCTTTTGCTGTGAATAGAATTAAATAGAACTATAACCTAACACGGGCTCAAAGCGGAATTACGAGTGTTAACTAATGCAGATGTAGCCAAGACCAACATTAAGTCCGTCTTTACGTTTTATTGTGCCAATTATAGTATTAACATAATATTTGTCTTAGGTATCAGACGTCAAAGCGGACGGCTGCAAACTCAAATGGGAACCGCCTGAAGATGATGGCGGAGAACCTGTTGAAAACTACGTAGTGGAACGTATGGACACTGAATCCGGAAGATGGGTGCCCGTTTGTACCACCAAAACTCCTGAGGCTGACGTCACAGGCCTCAATGAAGGCAAGGACTACATGTTCAGGGTGAAGGCCGTTAATCCTGAGGGAGAGAGCGAACCTTTAGTAACTGAAACCGCTACAACAGCGAAGAATCCATACGGTGAGTTTTAACATATATGCAGAATATAATATCCGTAATTTTTATCTCAACCTTCATTGTATTAAAGTTTAAAATCAGTTGTTAAAATTTGACAATTTAGGTAATGTGACAATCAAGTGAGTCGATGGTCTGACACCTTTTGATGAGTATAACTTGCACTATTTTTGTAATTCTTAGAAAGAGATATTTCCAATTGCAAAAGAATCAAATAAAGTTTTTTTTATACACCTGGAAGTGTACAAACTTTCTGTATTTCTTTTTTCTCTTTATTGGGAATAGCTAATAACTTTGTATGTAACTTTTGTAATTATAATGGTCTCTACGTATAAATTTGCTTTAAGTTAATTCATTCAAGCGTACATATTAATATGGATATGACATTATTATTTATAGCGAAAAGTTGTCTATAGCTCCATAAATTAAATTATGTATATAAGTAAAAGTTCGTTGAATCATTAAATGACAATCAATTGTAGTATGTATTTAATTACTACATTGATGGCATATTTATTAGTTTAAATTGCGGAATATCCGTGTAATACTAAACAGTTACAGGATTATTTTTAAATTGTACTCTATCATCATATTAACAATAAGTGTGCCAAAATATAACTTGATTCGTCCTGAAGTTTGAACTGCAATGATAGATTCTCAAAGTTTTAAATATATTGTTTGATTAGGTGAACCTGATGCTCCTGGCAAGCCGGAGTTGAAGGATTGGAGCAAGGATCATGTGGACCTCAAATGGGAGAAGCCCGCGAACGATGGTGGAGCACCCATCACTGGTTATATCGTTGAGAAGAAAGACCGCGATACCGGCAAATGGGTGAAGGCAGCTGAGGTATGAAAATCTAGTCCAAATATCGAAATACTTGTTTCATGGCTACTGTGATGTAATACCTTCCCAAACAATGGGTCTGATGGGGTTATGATGTTATAGCAAATTTGTTTTCGGGTGAAGAATAGTTGCTCTCCGAAAATTAATTTTCCGTAGAACTGCCTGATGTTGTTTGTGAATAAGTGACAGATGTATTCTGTTTGATAAATTTATTAATCTGAAAATATAACGGTTTACTTTGTATTTTAGGTGCCTGGCAATAAGACTGAAGCTCGCGTGCCTGATCTTATTGAGGGCAAAACTTATCAGTTCCGCGTGAAGGCTGTGAACAAGGCTGGTCCGAGCAAACCGTCTGTAGCCTCTGAGAGCTTATTGGCTAAGGACAGGTTTGGTAAGTAATTAATGAAACATAATCAACGTATTTTGATAAAAATATCTCCAAACTGATTCCCAAGTTACCAAGAAAACGGATACAGGAGAAATGTTTTTTTCTGTTTTATATAATACTTGTGTGGACCACTTACGCGATATACCAATATTTGGTTTGAGGATATTCTAGTAAAGTGAAGAAATTTTGCAGTTAATTGCTTAACTTAATGTTAACTAAAAAAGGAATTTGTTTCATACTGTCGTGTTTTTTATAGCACCACCGAAGATCGACCGCACGAATATGCGCGATCTCACTCTGAAAGCTGGACAGAATATCAGGCTGGACATCAAGGTTTCTGGTGAACCACCACCAAGCAAGACCTGGTGAGTAAACTTGAATATCTATAAATTAACTTTGATATAATGCTACTTAATCACTGCGGATAAGTAGTTGTTAATTGAACATAGACAGTCTTAAGATTAATATTTTTGGTCACTCATTCCAAGACTGGCTTTTGCGAAAAATAAATAAATAAAAATTAGACAACATAACATACATTGCTCAGATTCCAAGATGAGTAGCTAAAGCCCCCGTATGATGAAGTATCTGAAACAACCACTACGACTAGACCCGAGACAATATAGAATTTTTTATTTTCTACATTGACCCAACCGGGAATCGAACTCGGGACCTCAGAGATAGCAACATCTTGAAACCGACAGGCGAACCACTTGGCTACGGAGGTCAAAGCCGCATAACTTCAGGAAATTCATACGGAACTCGTAATATGCATCAATGAACTTGTGATATCTACAAAAGAAACTATTTATTTATGTATTTGATCTGGATAAGCATGACGTTGCACGAGACTCAATAAGTTAGGCAGTGTGTTTCTTAAAAATCCACGTTCGTTTGACTCACTCTACAAAAAACACCTCTTACCTTACTCTGCCATTAGAAATATGATATTTCGTGATTATCAATAATATTTTTAATTTGCATAGGTTTTTATCTTTAATTTTATGAATTATAGTTATTGATAATTCATTTAATATCTGAGAGAAAGCACACATCCAAGCCCTTCTTCATAGTTATGGAGATATGATACTAACCACAGAGAATTAAATCTTGTTTTTTTTAAATGATTGAATACTTTTAATATTTTCTTAAACAAATGCTAATTTATTTTTATCAAATACAGTATTGAATGATTTTATCGTAATTATTTCTAAATTTATACTTGATTTTAAGAGAGACAATAAATAAATTTGTTTTCAGATTTCAACTTAGTATATGAATGATATATTTCATGTATCTAAAATGAAAATATAAAATAGTTGACAGACCTGGGCAGAAGGCTAAATTTCGAAGCGCAGAAAATTGACCAATCAAAATGTTATAAATATCATGCAATCGGGCAATTCACCAATATACTCTCGCCGTGGAGATCTGATGCGCAATATTTTACACCTTATAGTTATTGAAATAAGACTTGCTATACTCTACTTATGTATATATCATTGTCGAACAGGTTCCACAATAAAGAGAGGTTGTCTACCCGCGACGATCTGTCGGTAGATGTGGAAGATTACCGCACAAAGTTGTCGGTAGTAATAGCGTCGCGTAAACATAGCGGTACATACGTACTGAAGGCGGAGAATAGCAGCGGCAAAGATGAGGCCTCCATACAGATCAACGTGCTCGACGTGCCGGCCAAACCTGAGGGACCGCTCAAGGTAATGATAAACTTAAATCTTTATCACGTTCAGGTTATCCACACTGCTGGCTGGTAGCAATAGTAAGTCTATTGCTAATTGATGGATGAAGATGCTTGGTTTAATTTTGGTTACCCATCCTCTGAGTAGCCTTTGCATAAGATACTTAAGCTCTTCGAGCTCTTCTTTATAACTTTTAATCTTATTAAGATTGTCGTGTATTCATTCAACAAACTTTTTTATTTCGTATGAAATATCTAATTCATCTCCAATGCAAATGTCAATTTATGTGTTGATATTCTACATTATTCTACATTTTTTTAAGAAGAGTAAGATTTCCAATACAAAATTGTACAAATGTTCTAAATTTGTATCTGATTTATACTCTATGATTTTTTATGTAAGGAGCATTTGTACAAATCTTTAAAATTACTTTGTACTAAAATAAGTACACATGTAATTACTTTTTCAAATAACTTTATTATTATATTCGACTCAATTACGTAGAGATGTGATCACACCAAGTCTAAGTTTGTTGATCTGGTATTTTATTTATTCAAACATTTTCTACCTACTGTGTAGATTTCTGACGTGCACAAAGAAGGATGTACACTGAAATGGAACCCGCCACTAGACGACGGTGGCGCTCCCATCGATCACTATTTGGTGGAGAAACTGGACACGGAAACGGGCCGCTGGATGCCCGCACTAAAGACTAAAGATCCGAAGGCGGAGATTGAGAACCTGGTTCCCGGACACGAGTATAAGTTCAGGGTGTCTGCTGTCAACAACGAGGGTGTTTCGGAGCCTCTGGACGCTGATCACTCGATCATTGCCAAGAATCCGTTCGGTGAGTACTCAGAATTATAGTTCATTATCTTCAGCCTTTTAATGATTTCGTTACTGAGCAAACCTTAATGAACGGCAGCAATTCCGTTATTAATAATTATATGAAGAAATGCCATAAACCTGCCACGCGGGTCTATTTTGGATTGATGGGTTCTTTAAAATATTAATTTATCAATTCTTTATTATATTTAGCACCGTATATTCCATTGACTCAGATTTTAGTCGAAATTTAATCATTATAGAATTGAAACTGGAGTCCTAAAGTTGTTTATTTAATCGTTGTGAAAATGTCTTCTTTTTTCATCTCTCAAGTCCCAATTATGTCTCAAGTGGCATATCTATAAACCGAAGGAGGCGGACAAAAAGAATTTTATTTTCACCTTTCACCACCACTTAAAGGGTGACAAGTGACATTACAATATTTAAATTCTTTCTTTCTAAATTTGACGCGCTTTCAAAGACCATCACAGTATTTATATAATCAAACCATATATTTATTTTCTTATTACTTATCCCCAGACGAGCCCGGTAAACCCGGCACACCCGAAGTGGTTGACTGGGACAAAGACCACGTGGACCTCAAGTGGAGCAAGCCCATCAACGATGGTGGCGCCCCCATCACCGGATACATCATCGAGAAAAGAGAAGTTGGCTCGCCAAAATGGTTGAAGGCCTGTGAGGTGAGATGTTAGATGTGGATACAAGTTCGTTGTTGCTGTCGCGTGTTATTTCATAGATTAGAATGAAATGAATATATTTCTGATGCGACACAGTTGAAGCTTCATAATTACCATATGAAAGATAGAACAACAAACACATATTTCTGTTTGTATAAACCCAGATAAGCGAAGAATTAGCCTATCTAACTCTTTCTAATCGAGTATTTAGCGCAGACGTTTTGTCTACAGCTGTCCTTTCCAATACATGCCTCCGTAGAGAAGGAAATACCGATCCTATCATCTTCTCTTTCAACTGAGGGACGATTTATAAGCAGCTGTACGTCATCCCTACTCTATTTATAATACTTATATGGTTACAATACGATACAGGAACAAATGTTACTTTCATATTAATCTATTTGACTCAAAATCTTTAAAACAAACCACACATGCATTGACGGACCGATATATATATATATATAAAAAAGAAAATTTACTGATAATATTAAAAGCCCATTTCTACCTTACTTACCTTTTAATCGTACATTCTCTAGGTCGGTCCCAATGACAACGAGAAGGCGACAGTGCCAAACCTGGACGAAGGTACCGAGTACGAGTTCAGAGTGAAGGCGATCAACGAAGCCGGCCCTGGTGAACCCAGTGATGCCAGCAAGTCTGTAATCTGCAAACCAAGACGATGTGAGTATTATACATATCCAATAAGCTCAGGCATAATATTTAGATAAGGACATCTTTCAGTATCGTAACTGTCTCCATCGTAGGCCTATTAATCCTTTTGGGATATGCGTATGTGAAAAATCATGCAGGCCAGACAGAACACCCCTATTCAGTTTAAACGACATGCATGCAGCCTGGACCAAATGTTTTACGTGCCTCCCGAATAACGAAGAAATTTACATGATAAGTTTTTGATCACCTATCCTAAGACAGGCCCTTGTGAAAGTTTCTTAGCTTCCGCGTAGCAAACTGAACGCACTATCCACTCCGTTATTGAGCTAGGCTTATGATTTAAGAGTCACCTTCATCAACATATCTCCTGCTATTTATTTTGGGACCAGATAGATCTCTGTGTCTGTAATGTTATAATATGCGTACGTATGTATAATACGTATACGTGTTACAGTGGCGCCGAAAATCGATCGTCGCAACCTCCGAACGATCAAGGTTCATGAGGGTGAACCTATCTCACTGGATGTCAAAGTGTCAGGAGAGCCAGCGCCTGATGTCACGTGGACGCTTAACGGAAAGTCTGTCATCAGTGGCAATGGCTTGAAATGTAAGTAGTTTATGACTCTGCTTACATCCGATTTCAGAATTGTGAATTTTAAGATAAGCATGTCTCAAATTGTACTTAAAAGTCACTTAAACAGGTTTTCGTTTCTGATTTTGGTTTTTCTTAACCTTAAGTTATTGAGAATAATTAGTTGAGATTTGGAACTTTACAGAAATCGGGCGTTAGTATTAGATAACCATTTCACCTTTGTTCTTTCTATTGTATGAGACAGTTCAAAATGTGAAATTTTAAAATGATATATTAAAAATCATCTACATTACCATCCTATCTTGGTAGCTGTTCGAAACCTTCTATAATAAGTTGAAATTTTCAGAATCCCTTATGATAATTAATGATTTTGCACCATATCGTCCACATAAGACTCATTGATATTAATTTTGTTGTCTCACTGATATTCTATTTTTTTAGTGGTTAACGTACCGTACTTGAGCAAGTATCAGCATGCTAGTCCACGTCGCAAGGATTCTGGCACATACAAGATTCAGGCTACCAATAAGTATGGACAAGATACTGCCGAGTTGGAGATCATAGTAACATGTGAGTTGTACAAACTAATATGAACTTTAAAATTTTGTAAATAGAGTCCATGTTATATTAATACTCTAAGAAAGAGTTAAAGAATATCGTGTTTAATGTGAAAAGGAATAATATATTTATTATGACATGAAAATTTAGCTCTGATTATATTCTGAAATTACAAATTTAAAGTGGAAAGATTCGACTGTTTGTTTGCATTAACTAAGCTCCGAAACAATTGAATCAATTAAAAAAAAATATTTCAACTTCAGCTATATCATACACGCGCGTGTGACATAGGCTTTAATTTATGCGAGTGAAAAACAGCTAGATATTTTACATATTTATTTTTATCTCAAAGTATCCACAGGAACAATCAGAGCCGGATTTGACCTAGTTTTGATAATTTATAAAACAAACAAGCTTTTTGTTGTGCTCTATCAAATTACTACGTGGTTTTAATTTTATTTCGTTTTAAATCACGAGTATAAACATTTTAAGCATTTACTTAAAACTAAATAATGAGAATTGTCTTGCAGCTAAACCTGATAAGCCGGAGGGTCCACTAGAAGTGTCTGACATCCACAAGGATGGATGCAAGTTGAGCTGGAAACGGCCAAAGGACGATGGTGGTGAACCTATAGAAGCGTACCTGGTAGAGAAGTATGACACGGAAACTGGAACATGGCTGCCTGTTGGCAAGACACTTGGCAATGTACCCGAGATGGAGGTAAATGTCAATAAGGCTCAGAACATACTGCAATCAAATATATGTCTGAATCTTTGTGGTTTTATACAAGCGTGGCCATTCATTGATTGATTAGAGTAACTGAGTTTTTGCTTTTAACTATACTTCGTGCTTTTAAGCGTATCGTGACTTATTTAGCGATGAATATATTTTAATAGAATTTCTTTATTCCTATACTGTGTTCACGTGACTTGGAGATAGTACTCCTATGCAATATAAAAACAAAACCAAACAATTATTAAGTTTTACTGACAATATATTCGAACAATCTTAAAGGATTTTTCCCATTGTCAGACTATAAAGTGATATTTAAATTTATACAGTTTCATGATTTGAATGTCAGGTCTGTTAAAAAACTAGAATAAATAGAACTTAGTATAAGGCTCTATAAATTATTATTTGAATATCTTGAAGATAAAGAAAATTAGGCCTAATAACATGTTGATATTTTTACAATTCTACAAGTGCGCCTAGAAAAGGAAATAAATAAGTGGTATAAAAAAGTTTTTAATTTGGATTTATTATTATTATATTATTAATAAATGTATGCTTGGTAGGTGGACGGATTGATTCCCGGTCACGAATACAAGTTCCGCGTGAAGGCTTTGAACAAGGAAGGTGAATCTGAACCCCTGGAGACCTTCGGCTCGATTGTCGCCAAGGATCCATTCAGTGAGTAACTATGTTTTATACCAGATTTTTTACTGTTCTTTATGATTGATGTTCGTAAAAAACTACTTGTGCTAGTACTGCATTCTGGCGACAGAAAGTTGCAGTACTACGGCCTGTTAATAAGTAAAATTATTGTCAATTCAAATAATATGGTCTGACGACATCCCACACAGCTGATAGAGACTGGGTAACCTTAGCAAACTACTGGACTTTTAAAGATTCTTTTACCTACGGGAAACATCATATGCTGTGACATTATCTCAAAAAACGGTAAATAAAGGAAAAAAATAGAAATGGGAGTTTGTATAGAGAATTAAAACGTTACCATCGTAACGATTGTTTACTATTCAATTTGTCATTTTCATTATATCCGTGTAATTATATGAATCGATATTCAAATGGACTGTTGCCTAGACCACGCGGGCGAAACTGCTGGCGTAAATCTATTAACAAAAGCTAAAATAAATTACAATCGAAGATAATTAGTATAAATTCGGACATTTAACGACAATAATATTGTTAATAGAAAAAGTTTTTTTTATTTTTATTTTATTTAATGTCAATTAAAACCCGTAGCCGTACCGGACGCGCCGTCTGCGCCCGTGCCGGATGACTGGTCCGCTAACCATGTGGACCTCAAGTGGGAGCCGCCGATATCTGATGGCGGATCACCCATTATCGGATATATTGTGGAGAAGAAGGATAAATACAGTCCTCTGTGGGAGAAGGCGATAGAAACACATACGCCCACGCCCACAGCTACCGTTAACGGGTAAGTTTTTTTTTCACTGAAGTTATAAGATGGATATTTTTTTTTTTTATTTAAAGGTAAAGGGATATATGACCGTGAAGCCATGTTTGATGTAATTTTTGATATTCATTAAAACTTTAGTGTTTATTTCCAATAGTTGTTTATATGTCAATGGGTAGTCTTCGGGGGCTAATGTAACGAAGTATTATATTGTTTACGTCCTAATATTTGATAATTTAAATGGTAAATCACATGGTAACGTAAAATAACACTAATTCATTGATAAATAATCTCAAAAACGTCCGGGAAATAGACAAGGTAAAAGCCTTGTGAGACTTTATAATAGAATTTCTCTTGCAAAGAATCCAGTTTTTATACATTTCAATGCCCTTGTCAGAGACGTCTACAATTATTTCACTTGTTTGATTATGCTGCAAAGTATGCTCTGGTAAATTTCCAAGGTATTTATATAAATTTAATGTAAATCATTGATAAATTGTTTGTTTTTTGCTGGTTTTCCTGAATTCTGACAGAATGCGGACTATGCATGAATTCTGATGGAAAGATAACTTTGAAAATCGGGGATAAAGTCTTGTTGTCTATGTTTAAGTAATATCACTTTAAATTAATTGCAATTTTAGTGACATTTTTGCAACTGGATAATTCATCTTTATTTATCACTTCAGAGATAATACGATACCTTGACACTTAAATTGGATTGAAATATAGAATATGTCTCTTAAAGAATTAAAATTTGTACTTACAATCTACGAATGTCCAAAGTAACTATAAAATTTTACTCAAACGCGGCTCTATTTGAAGAGTTATAATATGTGTAAATTTGACGCATCTAAACTAGTTTATAAATTAATACTTTTCCTTCAGTCTGATCGAAGGCAACGAGTACCAGTTCCGCGTGATCGCGGTCAACAAGGGCGGGCAGAGTAAGCCGTCTGAGCCGAGTAAGAACTTCGTCGCGAAGCCTCGTTTCCTCGCGCCCAAGATCGACAGGAGGCACCTGCGTGACGTCACCATCTCCGCCGGCTCCACGCTCAAGCTGGAGGCAGCCATTACCGGGGAACCCGCGCCCGCTGTTGAATGGAGGTTAATATACTTGAATGGAGATTACTATCTATCTGAAAGACGAAGAAGAGACGACTATTAAAATTTCCACCATCAGCCCTTTTACGTCCTCACTGCCTTCCTTATGGATGGTTAAGGAAGATGGGCCATGACCCCCCACGCTGGTCCGATGCGGATTGGTGGTTATCAATGACTGCAATGGCTTAACGTGCCTTCCGAATTACGGAGTAGCTCGTGATAATAATTTTTTGGTCACCCATCCCGTGACCGACCTCTTAACAATTATGAGCACAGGCCGCGGCGCCTATCCACTACTCCACTGAGCTACTCAAAATTAAAATTTATCGACTGATTAAGAATTATTAGAAACTGTCACATTCTGTTAATTCTTTATTCTATTCTTTTGAATCCTCAAACACCGCAATATCTTAAAGATCGCTTCGTTTTTCACTCTTCTAATTCTCGATTCTACTCAAGAGTTTTGATAATAACACTGGAATTTGACACATTAGTATGACATCATACGTTTTTTATTTTTGTTTGAAATCACGTGACACGAAGCTCAGAAATACTGATTTTATATTGTACAATATATATTATAGAACTTATATTTTAAAAATTCCTAATTTAGGAGTAATGAATAATTAATATAATAAATACAAGTTTCATAAAAACTAAACATACATTAAATATGCAACTGATATTTAATATGAGTTTCATGTTTATTACTTGTACTGATTAGCATGACACCTGAAGGCCTATTCTATACTCAGAAAACGAAATTTCGTCTATTTTTGAAAAGCTGCTACGACGCCAAATAAACGCATTTTCGATAATTTATCATGCTATGGAGGTAGAACCTGAAAATACCTCTGGTGGATAGATAATCTTCACAGATTTATCTAAACAGAATTGTAATCAAGATTAGAATAGACACAAACAGCATAGGCCCTCAAGTGTCATGTTAATTAGCACGAGTATATCGATCACTGTCAATAACCCTATAAAGTAATGAGAAATAATATTAGAAATATGTTATTAAAAAATATATAATGATTGTTACAGATATCAGAACATGCCTTTACGTCCATCTAAGGCTGTGACCATAGACAGTCCGGATTACTTCACTAAACTGGTGATCCGTCCGGCTCGACGCGACGACTCCGGCGAGTATACGGTGACCGCTGTCAACTCTAGCGGCAAAGACGTGGTGCAAATCAATGTTACTGTCACCGATAAACCCAACAAACCTGAAGGACCACTACAGGTTCGTATATACAATACTCTTAACTACATCATCATTATTATCTACCTAATAATGTCTCTACTATTGAAACGGTAACAAATTAGCATTCACATTAAATATATAATGATAATAGTGTTCTTGTCGGATGGTTTTATTTTTTATAAACCGATATAATACCGATACAAACCGAATGAACGTGTCAAGTTTTAAAAAATTTTAAATGACGCAAAGCGAATAATAAAAAAATAGGTGATCGCAAAGGTCAGAGGCAAAGAAATTTGGCTGCGGAAACCTAGGACAAAATAAACGTTGTGGTACGTCGTACGCACGTACATCCGAATCGAATTTAATAGGGTGCCTGAGCCAATGACACACCAAGGGCCCAGTGTGAATTGGTGGATGTTACCGACGGCAGATGCAATTAAATCGACGCCTTCCGATTCACCGAGGTACTCGAGATAATAAATTTTTGGTCACCCATCATGTGACCGGTCGTTACGAAAATCGTTAACTTTCACATCACAGATTGCACGCGCTAACTACATCATCATCATTTCAAATCAAATAGCCTTTATACATCAGAAAATATCATCAAAAATATTGATTAATTTCGCTAGATTTCGGATGTGCACAAAGAAGGAGCTACCCTCAAGTGGAAACGGCCAAAGGACGACGGTGGCGCCCCCATCGAGTATTACCAGATCGACAAGCTGGATACCGAGACTGGCTGCTGGGTGCCGTGTGCAAGATCTGAGGAACCGAGTAAGTTGTTAATACGTCACAGTTAGATAGACAGATCAACTGTTATATGTCCAAACTGAATCTTCAGTCAGGCTTCATTTTGACAGATGAATTAATTGAAGAGTTCCGTAGACTCACCGGTGTGAAAATAACAAATTTTAATTATTTTTTTTATATGATCAAATCGTGATGCATGTTGTCAAAATATATGATTTCGAACCTACTCTAAAACTGTTTTATTTTAATACTATAAAGAGAAATTTGTTACGTCGTTCGTTTGCTTTGAAAAAGCTTAGAAACTACTAGACAATATTTTATCATTAGTCTCTTACATTATTCCTGATGAACATAGACGATAGAATTATTTCAAAAGCGTATTAAAAATCCGGGTAAAATACCTGTGTGAAGCCGGGGTATGCCGCTAGTATTAATACATTGGGCACCTTTTATCGATATGTTTGTTTCCAGAATGTGACGTTACTGGTTTGACTCCTGGAAAGGAGTACAAGTTCAGAGTGTCAGCCGTTAACTCCGAGGGCGAATCTGAACCGCTCACATCTGAAGAGAGTATCGTCGCCAAGAATCCATTCGACGAACCTGGTAAGTTTAATGTTTAGGTAGCAAGTAACCGTTTTCGTCAAGTTATTGATGTCCTCATTGCTAAATCACGGCTCTTCATTATGGATCTAATCAATCAAATAGAGTGAAACGGGGCGTACCGGGCCCCTAAAGTTGATCGTTTGTTGTTAAAAAATTCTAGATAGAAAATACCATTTCAATAATAAATTTTGAACTCTAAATAAAGGTTAAAATGGATTAGAGAAAGTTTATTATTTAAAAAATAATGTGCTGTTATCTGCACATTTTTACACATCTTAGAAGACTCTTTTTTTATACCATGAATTTTGAAAAATCAAAACATTCAAAATTGCTATTTGTTTAACACACTTGAACTCGGTGATTGGTTATGAACAGTATCTAAACCGTACTTGACAAGCGTGATAACTAATTATTATTCATGTTTTTCAGTCTCTACGACAAGCTTGTGCCTAATAGATAAGGATCATGATTTATTAAACTATTTCCATTGGATACTTTTTAAAATTATCATACTAATCGTACGACTCAACGACCCCTGAAGGACTATTCTATAACATTTTCACGCAAACGCATTTGGCGATAATTTATGGTGCAACGGAGGTAGGACCTGACACTACCTCTGATAATAAAATAATCTTCATGGATATGACTAACAACGTTATACGAACAATTTGAAATATGCCCAATTTTTATTCGAGGACAAATAGGCTCTCAGGTGTTTATTCTTACGAGTTATACTTCCAAAGAATACTTTTTTCTTTTAATCAACATGCGTGTTTTTCATCCACTTCGATCATCATCCTGACACTTGTGGTAACAAACTGCAATAAAATCATTAATCTTCAGGTGCACCTGGTACACCTAGCGTGACCGACTGGGATAAGGATCACGTAGACCTGAAATGGACGCCGCCGCGTAATGATGGCGGCGCTCCCATCACCGGGTACGTGGTGGAGAAGAAGGACAAGTTCGGAGACTGGGAGAAGGCTCTAGAAGTGCCCGCTGGCACTACCAATTGCACAGTTCCAGATCTCATCGAGGGACAGACTTATGAGTTCAGGTACAGTACTTATATTTTTTTAAGTACCGATATTATGTTAAGGTTCTTACAGGCGCTTACTAGTGGCAAGTGTATCGCGTTGCTAGTAATGAGCATGCTTCCTAAAGCGCGAATGGAAAGGGGTATGCTTTGAGCACGTCTGAACAGGTTTGCTTATAAGCTTATTGTCACTTGTTTCTTGTAAGTTATTATCGAAGTTATTAATGTTTATGGATCATCCAAGTCATAGATAAATGGTTTTCAATGTAACGTAATATAATGATATGGTCGAGTCAACATAATTTTTTTATCATATATTGTTTTATACAGAGTACGTGCTGTAAACAAGGCGGGTCCTGGTGAACCAAGTGACAGTACTCATCCGATTGTTGCTAAGCCAAGGAACCTGGCACCGAAGATAGACAGGACGAACCTTATAGATATCAAGCTGAAGGTCGGCCAGAAGTTCGGCTTCGACGTCAAGGTGAGGGAAACTGTCAAAATTGCCATCAAAATATGCAGAACAGGCCAAAGGACCACATGGGCCCAATATGTGTTGGTGGGTGTTATCGACTGTTGATGCAGTTAGAACCAACAGCATAACGTGCCTTCTGAACGACAGAAAAGCTTGAGACAGTCAATTTTTGGTCATCTATCCTACGACCGGCAATTGGTATTGTGGTTCTGGTTTAATTTCTATGAATTTAAAATATTAGTTTGTTTAGGCCACAGCTGTATTAAGATTTTTCTTTGTGGATTATTTTTATAAAATCGGTATATCTAATCATGGACTGCGCATTCCCAGTTCAGATTGAGTATTGGCGATTGCAAATGCACCTAGAATGAATCAATTTATATGCACGAGGAACGCAGATGCTACCTTTCCTCTAGTAAATGAAATCAAATTGAGGAAGTAGAAAAACTAGGAGTGTTTATCAGATTAATATTTTCTTAAAAAGTAACGTAGCTAGTTAAATAACAACAAGTTGTATCTAAAACTACGTTCTCAGTTTAAATGAGAACAAATTGTCCCTAAAACCTACATGGTATAGCCGAAAGAAATTTATCCCTAGAACCTATGAAGTCTAGTCTTCGACTAAGTGACAACGAATTGTCCCTAGAAGCTACGCAATCTAGTTGAATACAGCTGAATTCTACAAACTACACAGTCCTAGTTAAATAGCAACACATTTTACCTCAAAGTTACGTACGCTATTTCAATAATATCTATTTATCTATTTATCTAGGTAACCGGCGAGCCGATGCCTGAAACAAAATGGTATCTCGCCAAGAAGGAGGTGAAGTCAAGCGGTGATATGAAAGTGCAACATTCAGATTACAACACCAAGTTGAACTGTAAAGCGGCCACCCGTGCGGATAGCGGCCGATACACCATCACAGCAGAGAACAGCAACGGAAAGGATGTGGCTGAAGTGGAAGTTATCGTTCTAAGTGTGCCCAGTCCACCCGGAGGACCGCTCAAGGTAAAAAGATTACATAAAAAGTTCGAGAGATTTCTATCCATACCTTCAGATTACTATAGGGGTAGGGTTGGGTAGATAGATCCAAGTTTCACGTTATTTATACGCGTCTTTTGCTCCTCAACATCCACCGTGATTTCCATAAATGCTCGCTTGTTTTTATGATTTCTGACATAACCTTCCGATCTAATAGATGTGCCTTGGTCTTTCCCATCTTCTACTCTACATCTTTCAAGCTTCAATAAAATATATAAGTTTCGATAGTAAATCAATGTACAGGTAACATTTGTTCGAGTGTCCAATCAAACACGCCGCATCGTCTTTTGTAAGAGTTGCTGTCTTGTATTTGCGAAGTTCAAAATGACTTCTGAAAGCCGAAATTGTATCTTTAAGCTTTATACTAATCTTCAACGAGCCCATTAACACTGCCCACTTTTGCAGGTGTCAGACGTCCACGCTCATGGCGCCAAACTATCATGGAATCCACCAGCGGACGACGGTGGTCAGCCGATAGATAAATATGTGGTGGAACGCATGGACGAGGCCACTGGAAGATGGGTGAACGCCGGCGAGACCGACGGCCCGCAGACCAGCCTCGCAGTGGATGGACTACAACCGGGACACAAGTACAAGTTCAGAGTTAGGGCTGTCAATAGGTAAGATAATTATTTTAATTTAGTCGTCATCGTCATCGGCACTATTACGTCTTTCAGGAGCTCAGGCCTTCCTTATGGTTATGAAGTATGGACCCACATTGGTTCCGGCATTTGCAGTCGTTATTTGAGGGTATTAACGACTTCAAATGCAGCCGGAACCAACGGCTTAACGTGCAATCCGAAGCGCGAATTAGCTTAGGATAGTAATTTTTTGGTCACCCAACCCGTGACCGACCCTTGCGAAACTTGCTTAACAACAACGATTGCGGGCTGCGGCGCTTAGCCACTACACCACCGAGCAATTTTAATTTATCAATAAACAAAAGCACAGAGACATTACTTTTAGTTCAATATTCCCAAAATATCCAATTCTCAAAATGTATAGTCCCAAAAATGTCCAATTCCCGAAATGTCCAATCTAATTTATTTCTCTCCACAAACCATTACACTTATAAAATACAATAAATCTTAAACCTAATTTTGGTTGTGGATCGCTGTTGCCTGTTTTAGGTAATTAAAACCTGTTTGCACAGGACACCAGGTCCCCACCTCTCAGTGGTAATTACAATTTACGACATAAAAGTTCAAAAATTATACATAAGAAAATAATTACAGACAAATCAAGAAATGTAGTTAAGAGAGCGCGTAAGCTATGGGTCAACCAACTTGATTGGTTTGAACAAAGAAACAACTTCCAAACAAGCTGCAACCAAAAGTGGGCAAAGTGCGTTACATATGTTTGATTATTAGCTGGTTCAATATTAAGAATATGGATATATGTGAGGGTGTATGGATGTACGCATGTTTGTTACTATTTCACGCAAAAACTAGAGAAAGGACTTCGATGAAGTCTATAATGCCAATAACCAGTATCGATCACACCAAGGCGACAAGTAGTGACTCAGTTTGTGCATAAGACTGTTTAAGAAGCCAATCTCTGGTAACCACTTTAAACGTATGACGATTTAGGGCATAGAAAGATAAAAATTTGTTCAATTTGTTATAAAGATGTGGTCCATTAAAAACAAAAAATCTCTGGGCAAAAGATGTATTCATTTTTTTTGTTGTGACTACTAGATTATTACGACGAGACTTGCCTTGAACGTAAATTGTTGAAAAATGTTGCCTTAAGGTAGTAGCTAGTACATAAAGTTGTCTGACTGTTAGAACTTGACAAAATTCATAAAGCATGTCAGTAGGGTACAAGCGGGGCTTACTACAGCAAACCTTAAGGACAGCGCGTTGCGCACGTTCCGCTAACATTAAATGTGACTTAGCTGCCCCACCCCAGGTGGTTATGCAATATCTCAGGATAGACTCACAAAGTGCCATATAAGCCATTTTCATAGTCTCAGCACCCGCAGAAAGTCGAAGCTGTTTAAAGATGAAAATAAGCTTTCGAACTCTACTAGAAAGAAGAACTATATGCGGTTTGAAAGACAGTTGACAGTCAATCATCACACCAAGATAACGAATAGATGACACGTTTTCAATTACCATGTCAGTATTAACTGTAAGTGATTGTTGACCGACTATATTAAATGAATCTAGGATACCAGGAGCCACACCACGAATCGAAAAGTTCATCGACTTGGTTTTACTAAAATTTAAGGTAAGTAAGTTGTTGTTAAGCCATTGATTGACAATATCAAATCCCTTCTGAGCGAAGTGATATGTTTCGTCCCATGTCTTAGAAGAAAATACCAAGGCTGTATCGTCAGCGTATGAAAATATAGCACCATTTTGGAGATTGAGGTTACACAAGTCGTTAATATAGATTAAAAATAGACTAGGACCGACAATACTGCCCTGCGGAACGCCGTACATTATGGGAATTTGGGAACTAGTGTATGTACCTATCTTTACACATTGCGATCTATTTGAGAGATAGCTACGGAATAGTGACAGCTGTGCGCCTCTTATTCCCATAGCCTCCAACTTTGACAGAAGTATAGGTACCGAGACCGTGTCGAACGCCTTTGCTAGATCGAGGAATAATGCGACGCATTTATCGTTTGCGTCCAGTTTCTCTACAATGTGATCTACTAAACCATGTACTGTATCAGCGGTGGATAAGTTTTTTCTGAAACCATATTGGTTATTTGATAGTAAATTACATGATTCCAAGTATGCGACAAGTCTCGAGTTAATGAGCTTTTCGAGTATTTTAGACATTGCAGGTAAGACAGAGATAGGTCTATAATTTTCAACACGGTTTCGGTCGCCAGATTTGAAGATAGGGTGGAGAACAGCCACTTTAAATAAATCCGGAAAGATACCTGATGTAATACATAGATTGCAGATATACGTAAGGGGAGGAACAATAATATTTTTATGTGTTTTTAAAAATTTTGAAGATAAGCCATCCCAGCCTACGGCGCAATTATTTTTCAATGAGCTGATCAATCCCTCGACCTCCATCTCGTCTGTTTCGAGCATTGCAAAAGATCTACCACTTGGTGGGGGCAGTGTAGTATTGTAATACTGGGACTGATTAGATATTTTCTCAGCCAGATGTCGACCACTATTGGCAAAATAAAAATTAATATCATTAAGGGAGTTCAAGTTGTTTGAGTGCGTGTTTAAAAGATTATTTGCCGACGATTGAGGCTTCTTAAAATTTGTCACATCTTGTATAACTTTCCACAGTAGCTTAGAATTACCACCAGCCTTCTCAAATTCAGATTTCTCGTATTCAGTTTTTGCCCTTCTTAACAGTGCCGTGCAGAAGTTTCGGTACCTTTTGTATGAAATCTTTAACACTTCGTTTGATGAGTCTTTTTTAAATTGCTTAGATAAATAATCTCTGTGTCTCATACATTTTAATAATCCTGGGGTAATCCAGGGTTTAATAGGTCTGCGTTTCCGAGATATTGACACTATCTTGGTGTTATTGGACAAGGTTAAAGAGATTAGATTTATAAGGCGCGTTAGAGCAATATTGGGATCTTGAGTGGAATAGACTGAACTGAAATCAATTGCTTCTAAATCAGCACCTAGTTTAATATCATCTACCCTGTTAAATGTTAGCCGTTGATTTAGTTTAGGTTTTTTTATTGATAGGGCGGTAAAAACTGCATAGTGATCAGTAACAGTCGTTTCAAAAACGAGGACTAAGGCAGGGAGTCTTGTTTTTAAATTAGAGTGGTCTAAACATGTAGTGTTATGGGTTTGCAAAGTGTGTCCTAAAAAAAATCCGTGATGAGCAAGAAGATCAAGATATGCTAGTGTAGAATTAGCTTGGCAATCGGGGGTAATATCAATATTAATGTCACCCGTTAAAATAATATTTTTATACGATTTAAGATCCATGAGTAAAACATCCAAGCACTGTAGAAATGTTGTTAAATCAGTAAATGCGTACGGTCTATATATTGCGATTATAGCCAAATCAGATCCTACCGTAATCACTAAACAATTGAAATCCGAAACAATTGGTTCATAAACTTTTATATTTGACAAGGAATTTCTGATGAAAACTACCACTCCATCATTTTGATTATAAGTTCTTAACGTTTTGTATGAATTATATCCATCTAAAACCGGTACAACAGGATTACATGAAAGCCAACATTCTGATAAAATATAAATATCACATAAAATTTTCATTCGTTCAATAACCAAGGAAAATCCACAGAAATTTGCACTTATACTACGAATGTTCTGAGAAAGTATAGTAAGATTCGATTGAAATGTAGGTAAGTATTTGGTACAAACCTCGGGTTGACACAATACCGCCTCGCAAAATGTAACACTGTCTAATTCGTCGATAAAACTATTTAACGCTGCGAATTTAACGAATAAAAGTAATCCTTATGGCAATCCCGATCATCATAAATAAAATCACTGTTTAAGTCCAATATCAATGAAACTAAACACTTATGCATCATAAAACGAACCCGCTCGGTAATATTAACATATTGATTTAAAATCACTAGAAAAGTCTTTATTTCACATCGATAGGCTTGTTTACTTTTTAAGATACAATATAAAAATTCAACACCGCATTTAAAACGCACATTATGAATATTTTTTGAGTTTTTCACTAAAAATAAATTAATTGTTAATACAAAAGTAATTCTTTGTGGCAAATAAAAATATATGGTGGGTAAGCTTGTAATGAGTGCAAAGTCGGTGATACACCGGGAGAAAAATATAAGTAATACAAAATAAACGGAAATTAATATAGAACATAAACATAATTTCAGTCATGCTTTCTTCAGTACCTCCAAATCTTCTTCATTTTTCACTTCAGTACGCGGGAAGCCATCACCCTTACGCATGTAGATTCTTCCCATATTAGTCCAACAGTACTTGTATTGCAGTGATTTGGCAGTATCACGGGCTAGAGCGAAGAGTCGATGGTCCTTTTTAGTCAAACCTCATTTATATAGATTGGAGTCTTTGGGCCTGGTAATCCAATTAGCGTTGTTGAAAGTTTGTTATTTGAGTTATTCTTATTGTGTTCTCTTACTGCGTTCAAGACTTTATTTTTGGTGATGACACTATTCAGGTCCGTTATGAGAACAGTGCCATATTTATTATTAACCCTATAGATATCCTTTATCTCAGATTGTTGAATTGGTACTTTAACTGCATCGCACGTTTTTTGAAATAATTCACACAGTTCTTGTTGTGTCTCCTGCCTTATCTGTGACGAGTTCAAAGGAATATTTCTAACCTCAATAACTGTGGACTTAAGTTTCTTTTCCATATCATGAATCTTATTTTCTAAAATCGATATATACTGCATATTTTCCTTTCTTTCACGTTCCATACTGAAGAGTTTATCTTTTATCTCATCATATTGTCTAGACATAAAGTGCATAGATTTTTCCATTTCCATACTTGCAGACTGAATCTTAGAATTTTGCAGTTTTAATTCTGTTATATCCGAGCACAGTTTTTTTAAAGTATCATCCTGATCCTTCTTCCAATTTGACAGCATGGTGAATAGCTCATCTTTAAGGGAATCTTCATCATTTTTGTTTTGGTTATCAGTCCTTAGTCTCTTTGATCTCTTACTTTTGTAACTAAATATATTTTCAGGGTCGAGGCTGCAAATATCACCTTCGGAAGCCACATGCTGGACGCCACCTTTTGGAGGTGTTCTTTGTGTCTTCGACATTTTACTTATCAAGTTAGGTTCTCAGTTTATGTGGTTGTATTAGAAACAATTGCAACTACTCGACACGTCCGAGCGCGTCCGCGGTCCGAGAGGAAGGGTTATTGAAAATAAGGGTTATTAAAGACTATATTGATCGGGTTGTGAATGTTTAATCAGAAAGTAAGTAACGAGGCTGTTGAAGTTTTAAATTATTTAGGATAGCCATATTATGTATTTTTGTAATCAAAAAACGCATCGTGCTGGTAAACTTAACATTACGGGAATTGCATATACTGAAATGAAAGGATTAATTTCAGCATTTATCTGTACCATTAATACATCCAAATCGAGTTCTTTTTAAACATTTGCATTCTCGTTGTGTGAATTCATTAATCCCATATCGACTTACGGCTAATATATTGGCTCTTGTACACAGGCAAGGTAAATCTGAACCACTCACCACACCTCACTCTACTGAAGCCAAGAATCCGTTCGACGTAGCCTCTAAACCCGGAACGCCCAAAGTCAAGGACTTCGACCGGGACTTTGTGGAATTGGAATGGACTAGGCCAGAATCCGATGGTGGGGCACCCATCACTGGATACGTTATTGAGAAGAAGGATAGATTCTCCCCTGACTGGGAGGAATGTGCTCAGGTTTGTTAATAAATCTTTGTATATATTATATAAAGTAATAAGCTGCTTACTGTTCTACTGCGACTTCACCCGCATAAATTAGTCTTTGTCACCTGCGTATGAGGTAGCTTCTCGTAAGCAAAAAAACTTTTAAAATCGATCCAATCGTTTCAGAACTTATTCAATGAAAAACAACCAAACTTATCTTTATAATATTAGTATAGACATTTTTTATCTTATGACAGTGAAATTATCATATATTTGTGATATCTAATTCTACTTTTTGTTGTATAATAACATAAATTTATGGAGTATAATTAAGTATTGATAAGAACAAAAGTTCTTGGAAATATCGTATCCAAGTTTTATGGCACATTTGCCGTAGTCTGATATTTATATATTTATATCCATAGGTGGAAGGCGACGTAACAACTGGAAAAGTTCCGGACTTGATCGAAGGCAACACTTATGAATTCCGCGTGCGCGCCCTAAACAAGGCCGGCAAAGGAGAGCCCAGCGACTCCACCGCCCCCCATCTCGCCCGCCCCAAGAACTTGCCCCCCAAGATCGATCGTAACTTCATGTTCGACATCAAGGTCAAAGTCGGACAGAACTTCGATCTCGACGTACCTGTCGCTGGTGAACCGACACCTACCAAAGAGTGGCATCATGCAGACAATCTTGTCATGAACACCGATAGAATAAAGGTCATCAACGATGCTCATTCGACCAAACTGAAAGTCGTCGACGCCAAACGCGCTGACACCGGAGTTTATACTCTCAAAGCGAAAAATATCAACGGAACAGACACAGCTACGGTCAAAATCCTCGTCCTCGACGTACCGTTACCGCCAGAGGGACCTCTCAAAGCGGACGATGTCACCAAATCCGGATGCACTCTTCGCTGGAGACCGCCGAAGGACGACGGTGGCAGCGAAATCTCGCACTACGTCGTCGAGAAGATGGACCAAGAGAACATGCGCTGGATTCCAGCTGGCGAAGTCCAAGCTTGCAGCATCCGAATCGATCATCTCATCGAAGGTCACGATTACAACTTCCGCGTCCGCGCTGTCAACAAGCAAGGAGAATCGCAACCCCTTACGGGACACGAACCGGTCACCGCGAAAGATCCGTACGGTACGCCGGACAAACCCGGCACGCCTGTCGTCAAGGACTGGGACAAGGATCACATGGACTTGGAATGGGTCCCGCCGAAAAAGGACGGTGGCTCTCCAATTACCGGATACATCATCGAGGCGAAGAAGAAGTACGGCCCATGGGAAGTAGCCGCGACCGTGCCCGGAAACCAGACCAAAGGAACGGTCAACAATCTCCAGGAAGGAGAGGAATACGAGTTCCGCGTGATCGCGGTGAATAAGGCTGGCAACGGTGAGCCGAGTGATGCCTCGACTCCTCAAGTTGCGAAGGCGCGTTTCTGCGCACCTCACTTCGACAAGATGCTACTCGCCGACAAAACAGTTAAAGCGGGACAGAGGATACAATACGAAATACCTATCGAGGCTTCCCCGAAAGCGACGGTCGAGTGGCAGATCAACGGAAAGGTGGTCCATCCTACTGATCACATCGACGTCCAGGTGTTGCACAACAGGGTGATCCTAGACATTCCATTCTCCGTCCGAGCAGACGGAGGCGTTTACAAACTCACCCTCAAGAACGACCTCGGAGTTTGTTCGGGAACCGCTCAAGTTACCGTTCTGGATAAACCATCTAGGCCCGAGAAGCCTTTGGTCGTATCGGACGTCACCAAGGACTCATGTTCGCTGTCATGGAAAGTGCCTTTGGATGACGGTGGCTCACCGATCTTGCATTACGTTATCGAGAAAATGGATCTGTCTCGCGGAACGTGGTCCGATGCCGGCATGAGCACGTTCTTGTCGCATCAAGTGACGCGTCTCATTCACATGAAGGAGTACCTGTTTAGAGTGAGCGCTGTGAACGCTATCGGCCAATCGGAACCGCTCGAATTAGACAGAGCGATCGTTGCCAAGAACGAATTTGATGAACCATCGGCTCCGGGTAAACCTCAAGCTACAGACTGGAGCAAAGACCATGTGGACTTGGAATGGACTCCACCCAAATCCGATGGTGGCGCACCCATCACCGGCTACATCATACAAAAGAAAGAGAAGGGAAGCCCGTACTGGGTGAACGCCGTGCACGTGCCACCGAACAAGACCAAAGCTACAGTCCCCGACTTGATCGAAGGACAGGATTACGAGTTCCGCGTTATCGCCGTCAATCAAGCTGGTCAGTCAGAGCCGAGCGAACCTTCAGATATCATCACGGCAAAGGACAGATTCGTCGCGCCCAAGATCATCACGCCGCTCAAAGAGATCCGCATCAAAGCGGGTCTCATCTTCCATTTCGACGTCGACTTTATCGGTGAGCCGACTCCTGAGGTCACCTGGACTTGCGATGGAAAACCGGTCGTCGCCAACGAAAGGACCACTGTTACGTCAGTCGGTCATCATACAATCGTGCACACTGTTAATTGCAAACGTTCAGACGCCGGTAAATACAACTTGAAACTGAAAAACGATTCCGGAACTGACGAAGGCAGCTTCGAGTTGATAGTCCTGGACGTGCCCGGTCCACCGCAACCGCTTTTCGAATACGAGGAGATCACTGCGCAGTCCGTTACATTGTCATGGAAACCGCCTAAAGACAACGGTGGAAGCGAACTCACTGCTTACGTTATCGAAAAGCGCGATCTCACTCATGGCGGAGGCTGGGTACCCGCCGTCACGTATATAAATCCTAAATTCAACCACGCGACTGTACCTAGACTGACAGAAGGAACTAAATACGAATTCAGAGTCTTCGCTGAGAACTTACAAGGCCGCTCGGAACCTCTTGTAACAGATAGAGCAGTCGTCGCAAAGAACCAATACACAGTGCCTGGTAAACCTGGCAAACCTGAACTTGTTTCTGCGGACAAAGATCACATCAAAATCAAATGGCAGCCGCCGATTTCGAACGGTGGATCGAATATTCTCGGATACGATATTGAGAGATGCGACAAGGCAACTGGCCGCTGGATAAAACTTAACAAAGACCCCGTAAGGACCAACGACTACGAAGACGACAGGGTTCAAGAGGGTCACCAGTACGAGTACAGAGTATCCGCCGTGAATGCCGCTGGACCTGGCCAGCCATCAGACCCGTCTAATGTGTTCGTTGCCAAACCCATGAAAGAGAAACCTAAACTGTGGCTCGACCATCTTATTGGCCGCAGAATCAAGGTTAGAGCGGGAGAGCCCATTAATATTAACATTCCGATAACTGGTGCTCCGACGCCAGATATATCTTGGACTAAGGGATCTATACCTCTGGTACCGTCTCATAGACTTTCAGCCGAAACGAAGAACGATGAAACTAAACTTAGCATCGAGAAGTCTACCAGAGACGATGCCGGCAAATACACTATTACGGCTTCTAATGCCCACGGTAAAGACTCCGCGGATATCGAAGTTATTGTCGTCGATAAGCCAGGAATGCCTAAAGGACCTCTCATCTGTACTCCAGTCACACATGACTCTATTAGTCTTACATGGCATCCACCCACAGACGATGGTGGCAGTGAAATCACTGGATACGTCGTCGAAGTCGCCGAATTCGGCGTCAACGATTGGCGGACAGTCGCCGGATTTTGTCCTAAATGCTCTTTCACTGTCAAGAATCTCACTGAAGGAAAGAAATACATCTTTAGGGTGCGCGCTGAGAATCTCTATGGAGTTTCGGATCCTTTGGAAAGCAAGCCGACCGTTGCCAAATCGCCATTCGATCCGCCGGATGCACCGGAGACTCCCAAAATTACCGGATACAGTTCGAACAGTTGCTCTTTGGAATGGGAGCCACCCGCAAACTGCGGAGGTAAACCTATCACTGGTTACTATGTTGAGAAACGTGAACGCGGCGGCGATTGGGTCAAAGTCAACAACTATCCAACGCCGAACACTTGCTACACGGTTCCGGACCTTCGCGAAGGCAACAGATACGAATTCAGAGTCATCGCCGTCAACGAAGCCGGCCCTGGCAAACCGAGCAAACCCACCGAACCGATTACTGCTCAAACTCAAAGACTTAAACCGAGCGCACCTGAAGCTCCCAAACCTGATAGAATCACTAAAGATTCGGTCACGCTATCATGGAGACCGCCCAAGAGTGACGGTGGCGCCAAGATCAAAGGCTACATTGTTCAACAGAAGGGCAAAGGCGACAAGGACTGGAAAGACGTCAATGACGTGCCCGTACCAGGCTTGGTACATACTGTACCGAATCTCAAAGAAGGCGATGAATACCAATTCAGGGTTATCGCCGTCAACGATGTTGGTAGATCAGACCCGAGCAAACCTACCGGCGATATCGTCATTGCTGAGCAACCCAATAAACCTTGTATGGACTTGGGTGGAGTCAGGGATATTACAGTACGTGCTGGAGAAGACTTCTCTATCCACGTGCCGTACACCGGTTTCCCGCAACCGACAGCTTCTTGGTTTGCTGATGATAACCTGCTTGACGTCGATGGAGACTCAAGGATATTCCAGAAGATTACTCCAGAATCAGCTTCGTTGGTCGTTAAGAACGCGAAACGAACAGACGGTGGACAATACCGCTTGCAACTTCGCAATCCATCTGGATACGATACGGCTACTATCAACGTTCGCGTTCTGGATAGGCCCGGAAAACCGGAGAACCTCAGAGCAGATGAATTTGAAGGCGAAGCGCTCACGTTATACTGGAACCCGCCCAAAGATAACGGAGGTGGTGAAATCACCAATTATGTCGTCGAGAAACGCGAAGCTAGAACACCGAACTGGACCAAAGTGTCAGGCTACGTCACCACTCCGTTCTTGCGGGTGAAGAACTTGACAGTCGGTCGTGACTATGAATTTAGAGTGATGGCTGAGAACCAATACGGCCAATCTGATCCCGCGCAGACGACCGAACCGATCAAAGCGAGACATCCATTCGATCCTCCCGGTGCTCCAGGAGCGCCTCGTTCTATCGAAACAACGGAGTCATCGATCACGATCACTTGGACGAAGCCTCGGCACGATGGTGGATCGCCGATAACAGGATACGTTGTGGAGAAACGGTTGATAACCGAAGACAAATGGACGAAGGCATCTCACGCTCACATTCCAGATACAACCTACAAAGTTACAGGATTAATAGAGAATCATGAATACGAATTTAGAGTGGCCGCTATCAACGCAGCTGGTCAGGGTCCGTGGTCACAGAGTTCTGATGCTATCAGGGCTTGCGCACCGCCCAACTGCCCGAGGATCACCAGCGATCTCAGCCTTAGAGATATCACTGTCATTGCTGGCGAAGAGATCAAGATCACTGTACCGTTCACCGGAAACCCAAGACCAAAGGTAAGCATAACTCTTTCCGATATGTTTGTGTTTGATTAATTTTCTAGAATTTTACTATTAATGTATAAAATAAATTACTGTCTGAAATTTAAATTAAAAGCATACATTTTTATATTAAAAGCATACAAGCAGGCATTTAAAGCAGACTGATAAAGAGTTCTAAAGTATTGGAAGTCGCCACATTATTACAAAATAAATCTTTATCATCAGGTATCTTGGATGGTGAACAACGAGGAAGTATTCCCTGACAGTCGCATCCGTTTCGTAACATCTGACATTGATACTGTCTTTATGAACACTTGCGCTAAGAGATCTGACACCGGCTCTTACACGATACAGCTGACTAACAGCGAGGGGTCTGACAGTGCCACATGCAGAGTAAGTAATAATTTATTTTGTAAAAAATTGAATCAATATTATTTTTAATGATAAACGAATCATCCAAAAAACGATATCTCATTTTACAGGTACTTGTGGTAGACAAACCGTCCCCGCCAGTAGGCCCCTTGGAAGCGTCAGATATTACACCTGATACATGCACGCTAAGTTGGAGACCACCTCTTGACGATGGTGGTTCACCAATCACTAATTATGTGGTCGAAAAAATGGACGGTAGCGGGGTAAGTGTTGCCATTATACCGTTTTTTATTACACTACTGACAGAACCAGCGAATAGCATGTCTCTGTTTTTCAAATGAAAATATAGTCTGTGTAGTCTTTAATAATTTAGCTTTATATTTATATCATATTTAATTTTCAGAAAAGAATTTAGTAAAATGTAAGCATTTGTTTCTGTATAAATTCAAATTTTAATAAAAAATTTAAAGCAAATTTATTAAATACTAAATTTCCACTTGCAATTTGGGAATCTGAAAGAAATGCTTTGATATAAAAAGTGTAACTCTGGTAATCCAAGTTGACATTATTAAATTTTTGCAATAAATTAATTGACACATGATCGGTATACGTGTCAGTAATCGTTGTCACTGCTAACAACGAACACCGACAGTTAAACAGGGTTAGTCAGGAGTCAGTAGTCGTGATTACGTCAAAAATTTCACTGACGTCATATACACTCGACTTAATATTGAAATGTTAATATTGACAAAATCTAAATATTTGCTTCAGGTATGGTCGAAGATATCTTCATTTGTTCGTAACTGCCACTATAATGTGATGGGCTTAGAGCCAAACAAGAAGGTCACATTCAGAGTGCGTGCGGAGAACCAATACGGAGTATCTGAGCCTCTCGCGATGGATGATTATATTACTGCCAAGGTGAGCAACCGATTCTAACCTCTATTACTGTATATTATTACTGATCGAGAATTGAGTATCAAGCACACATTTACACCATACACAGAGTCGCTGAGAGAGGATTGATTAGTCACTTTTTTATTAATTTACAACAAATAAACTGGAGAATATCCCAATGACATGCGTACAATTAGAACCATTATACTAATTTAAACATAACTTCTAAGGTTATCAACAGTTACCAATACTATGTTCTCCACTAATTAACAACAACTAACTCAGGAGAGCCTTTAAGATTTTCAAGAACTTAGTGTAGAAATCGGATGAAATCAAAGTTGATTAACATTAGCAGCATCATGTTAAACATCTCAAAAGCGTTGATTATTCGATAAATTTCAACATCAATATCTACAACGTTTATTTATAATGCATGTCAATAAATCGTTGATTAATTTATTATAAACTATCTTTCCGCTAGCGGCTTCGTCCGCGTGGTCCTAGGGAACTGTTTATTTGGATGTCGATTCATATCATGACACGAATATAATTACAATGACAAATAGTATAGTTTCGGCAGTGAGAAATAAATCACGAAATTGCACAAAAACTGAAATTTACGTCATAATATAACGCGCCAACATGGATTTAATCTTTCTGCTTTATAATATTAGTATAGACTATCATCGATATGTTTAATCATCACAAAATCGTTAATTAAATGTCATCTTGGATTGCCAACAGTTCCCATTCACGGTTCCGGATCCGCCAGGCACGCCTCGTGTGACCGACTGGGACGGTTCCACCGCCACGGTGGTATGGGACAGACCGCGATCGGACGGCGGCGCCCGTATTCAGGGATACAAGATCGAATTCCGGGACGTGCAAGACGGCGTCTGGGTTAGCGCTGACTACCTCGTCAAGGATTGCAACTATCAGGTGAGAGGTTATTTCCCCACCCCCCAAGGATTTGACAGGTTTTCGTGGTTGTAGAGCCCTTATTTTTACGGCTTAAGGTTCATTTCCTCTGAGTTAACAAAAAAGGTGAGAAACTATTTAGAGGAATAGGTATTACCATCGTCAGCTTGTTGATATACCCAGTGCTATGGGACCGGTCATAAGGATCAAATAGACAAAACGAAACTCAGTCAACCAAATGGCCCCAATGCAGGTGCTAACGACAGCAGGTGGAGCAAGATCGAATAGGTTAACGTGCCGTTTGAAGGAGGGAAATGCTCGAAGTAGTAAATTGTTGGTTATCCATCATAAGATTAGACCTCATAAAAGTTGCTTAAACTCCACTTACTATTGTATCACCAAGCTTTCCGGAGATGGATTTACACTCAAGGAATTAGTGATTTAGTTTTAGTTAGGTTAGAAGTATTATTCTACCTGTTGCGATGCGATACAGAATAGAAAAAAAAAGGTTATGATTACTCATATCGAGTTAAAATGAATTCTATGCACTCATTTAACTCAAATTTCGTTTGTGTTCTCTTCCAGGCCTACAATTTGGAACCTGGACACGAGTACGAGTTCCGCGTGCGCGCACAGAACGCGGCCGGCCTCAGCAAGTACTCGAATTCATCTCAGAAGTTCCGCGTTCGACCTAAGTGCGGCCCGCCCGGCGCTCCTCGCTCGCCTCGCGTGCTGCGAGTCGGAAAAACTTACGTGGACCTGTCGTGGGATCCACCGGCTACAGACGGAGGTTAGTATAGGACACATGTCTGTATATATTAATATATTAGGTATAAAAGATTTTATTGATTGTTTGCATCGAATAGGCTTTGGAACTAATGGACCGATTTTAAAATTTTCTTCACCCATGGAAAGCTACATGATACGTTATTTGTTTTTCGGCCAGCATACATACTGTTTATGTCATCGATAATACAATAAAAATAAAAAATTATACTTTTAAAGTCATACTCTTGAAATCAATTCTCGATATAACTTGTAGGCTCGTTTCCTCAAAGAGTTATCTTTAATACCTTTATATTTCGATATTGTCGATATTTTCTTGTATATTGTTTCCGAGTATTATGGTAATTTTTTTATGTATCAAATCCACAATACAAGTACTTTAGCTACTTAATATGTGATTTTTTGAGGTTGTCTAATATTTATTTATTATCATTCCCACTTAGGTTCTCGCGTAACCGGCTATATAATCGAGCGTCGCGACGTCGGCGGATCTGTATGGGTGAAGAGCAACGACTACAACGTTCAAGATACGACATTCACCGTAATGAACCTCGGCGAGAAACAGGACTACGAGTTCCGTATCATCGCCGTCAACGCCGCAGGTTAGTTGATAAATCACCGTCACAAAATATTGTTAGGCAACTTAGTTAAGATAGTAATAGTTATTTAAGATACGAGTGCGGAAAGAAAGATTTTACAAGATTTTACGAGCGAGGGTATTCATTGGCACGAATTCGAAAAACCTTTTACGCTCAAGTTTCTTACAACATTTTTCTATGCTTTTTGCGAGGAAATAAAACAAATATATAGGTTAATAAAATTAAGTATGTATTAAAGGTAAAAAATATTTGTTAAAATTAAACGTGATATTTGAACATGTTTTCGTGTCATAAAATTTTATTTGAAAATATTCGATCTAGGCTCCTTGAAATACTTTTGCCTCTAAAGTTTGATATATTTTTATTTTTATTTTTTTTAATTTCTTTGCTGCTCGGCCAAAAAAAAATTAAAAGATTACTTTTAAGCACGTGTGCAGTAAAGCATTTCAGTACATTTTTATTTAACACGTGTTTAAAGACTCTCTTTCGGTGTTTACAATGGATTAAAAAAATAGCGCTTTATGAGCAACTGCATTGAAAAATAACAAATTTAATCATCCTCTTTATTCGCACGGTGAGTAAACATATAAGTTATATAAGCGGATGATGTTATTAAATATGTTCACTATATGAACGCCATTCTTATCCTTAACAGTGTAAGTTAGTTCGTAGTCGGCTCAAAGGACCAATAAAAGTAATACAAAAATATTGACTAATAGTAACGAGGAAGTATTAAAAAAAACATTAGTTCTTTAAATCAAACTAGATTTCGCTATGTACTTTCTTGATTTCTCCATGACAACCCTTCCAGTTTTTTTTTCATGTATAAAAGTAAATTAGTTTAAAGCAAAACTCAATAAACAATTTGTACTTTTTCGTATTTGTATTGCTATCTAAGTTATTTCGTATTTGTATTGCTGTCTAGTTATTTTTATAATATGTTAGTTTTAAGGTACGGATATGGCTATCTTTGGGTCCATTCGTTTCCTGCAAAAATCAACTTTTGCTAGAGTTGCCATTTATTGAGGTGTTTTTTAGTATTTCTTTTTATTTTAAATACTTCCTCATTGGTAATGAAATTGTAAATTGTCATTGTTAAATTGTTTTGTTACATTTATTTTCAAAACGCACGTATTTATTTACCATACTTAAAATCGTGTATTCTGTCAAACCAACATGACAATGACAAACGCAAATATAGGGATTTAAGTACATTTAATATATTTTAACAGATCGGATGCACATTGAAAAGTCTTTATTACTCGAAAAAAATTTTTTTTTCTTTCTTCCGCGCCCTTGCTTCGTGCTTTTGACGTCATAGTTACTTCAATAAAAATGGGCTTTGTATTTGAAATGCTTCCATTTCATCATGTAGGCAAATCCGAGCCGTCCTCTTGCACCAGCCCAGTACGGACTGGCGAAGAATTGGGCGGCACGAAGCCGGAATGGGTGAAACAAGTGCCGCCTCATATGGCAGCGCCATTGGGAAGACCTTTCACCATAGAATGTGTGGCTAGTGGCAACCCTGTGCCTACTGGCAGGTGGATGAAGAACGGCAGGGAAGTCGTACTTGGAACTAGGTGAGTTACTTTACATTTGAATACTCAATAATATCCGTTTTAATTCTGTTATTGGTATAAAGCATATATCGAGCCTTTTAGTTCAGAATGTCCAACGGTTTCAAAATTTGCTATTCCTAAAACGATATTAGATTGGTTATTTTGGGAACTGGATAGTACAGGAACATTTCGAGAATTGGACATTTGAAAACCGTTGGATATTTTGGGCGTTGGACATTCTGATCTGGAATCATATCGAGATTGTTATATTTGACCATTCTTGCATTCACAATGCTCTGCTGAAAAATATTCTTAACGAAAAATTTATAGAAAATCCATTCTGTTCCTGGCATTTTGTGAATGCAAAATTGATCAAATATAATAATTCTTCTCAAATCGGTAGTTAATAAAATATTTTATTTAGATTCTTCAGAATTGTTAACAACCCTACGACATAAAAATATGTTTGATGACGTTTTCCGTGTATTGCTTGTGCAGTCGTGCAGATGAGGTTTTATACATTAAAATACCTTCAAATAAAGACGGTTTTCTTTTTCTATTACCTTATAGATTTATTGCTGAATCCCGCGAAGGCACCTTGAAACTGAATATTCTAGAAGCTAAAGACGATGACGAGGGTGATTACACTTGCGAGGCGTCCAACACAATTGGCTTCATTTACAGCACTGGACATCTGAAAATTGGAAGTGAGTACTTATAGCATGAAGCTACAGTATAGTACTTTCACTGTAGGATAAGTTACATGAACCTGTGCAGAAATTTCATTCGGGTAATAATTATGCATGTGCTACTGCACACACAGGCGTTCGTTTGCTCTTTGTTGATATACCGCGATATTCTACACACTTCTTGACAGTCTGGAGTTCTAATACGAATAGGATTTTAAAGTATCGTGTTAAAATCTATATTTCAAGGGCGCTGATAATTTGCTCTCTTCTGCGTTGACTATATTTGCCAAAGCTATTAAAAAATGGTAATACTCCAGAGACGGCGAATGCCAATTCAGGGTTCTCCTAAACAAATGTGTCACGTGTCGGAGTTACGAGTCGCAGACAGACATATTAAATATTAGCACCTGTATATATATATATATATATATATATATATATATATATATATATATATATATATATATATATATATATATATATATATATATATATATATATATATATATATATATATATATATATATATATATATATATATATATATATATGGTATATATATTATATACCATATATATATATCCATATATATATATATATATATATATATATATATATATATATGGAAATATTTATGTGAAACACCGTGCAATTTTTAGCACTTGGTTTACTATCTACTTCGCAAGGGATCGTTATTGAAAATATAAATTACTTGAATGTTACACATTATTACTATTCTTCTTATCAGGTCCGCCTCGCATCACTCGTATGCCAGGAGATATGCATCTACCGGAGCATGACAACACGAAGATAAAGATCTTGTACACTGGCGACCAACCCGTCGACGTCACACTAACCAAAGACGGCCACAAAGTGACGGAATCGCCCAGACTCAAATATACAGTCTTCGACGATTATATGCTTATCTTTATAAAGGATATCAGCAAAGACGATATGGGTGAGTAGAATTATTATTATTGGATTATTTGAACAATAGCTTCTTACACCTTTATTCTTATTTAATAATTATATTGCTGAAACCTTGTACTATTTATGTGCATACAAAGTTATCTGTAATTTAATACCGATGGCAGTGTAGAAAGAGTTTTGTTAACAGAGTTTTGTCTTTATAGTTCTTAGCGTCATCTTCCTTTATATTAGTTGTTCGACCTTAAATGAGAGCCATCGACTATTTGCATGCTTAAAAACGTACAGCACATGCAGACCAGTGTCACTAGACTTATATAAATTGATAGCTGACTGTTAATTCTGCTAGCAAGAATATCCTCGACTTATTTTGTTATCGATGGTCAGAATCTGCTTTGAAACTTTCACTTGAATCATAAATAATTATGAATATGTATAATTATGATGAATATATAATTATTCAATAAAGCCAGTAAGGTCTATCGTACTTTTTTTATAGTCCAGTGACATGCCTATAATAATCTTCTCGCCAATTCGTTTCTAGCTTCTGGTTCTACTTGCTTCACGTTCTACTTGTGTCCAATATTTTCGGGATCAGATCAATGTAATAATATAAGCGGTTGGCCAACTACCATATAATATACTATCATTCACTACATACTATATCATTTACTACACCCATTCAATAAACATATAAAAAATACATGTAACATCTTGTTGCATTTTCACCAGGCACATACAAACTGACGATAAAGAACAACAGTGGAGAAGCATCAGACTCATTCTCTATAACCGTGACTGGTCTACCTGGACCACCTCAAGGACCATTGGAGACTACAGACATAACTAGACATTCGTGCACTATCGCATGGAGACCGCCCGCTTACGACGGCGGCATGCCCGTAACGCATTACGTGGTAGAGAGGATAGATGTGTCTGGAACTGTATGGATTACAATAGCGTCCTCAGTCAGGGATACAAAGTATACCGTGCAGGGATTGGTGGAAGGTCAGGAGTATAACTTCAGGGTGCACGCAGCTAATGAGAATGGCATCGGACCGGCTCTTGAAGGTGTCAATCCGATCAAGGTGAGATTTGATTTAAACTATGACTTTTAACTGATTGTAAAATCTGTCTTTTAATTTTTTGATCGGGTGCTTGATGATGATGTATTAGTACCTCTTTTGGTATATATTATATTTATATAACAGATTTTTCGTTAAAGCTATTTACAAAAGGAACATATTTATTCATGATTTGGCCAGCTGTAGGTTATCCATATGGTATTTTTAACACATGATAATCTTTTGATATTATTTTTGCGTATCTGTAAAAGATGACGTTCGCCATCTTTTTTTTATATCACACTTGTTTTTGAATCAGATCACTAAAAATAAATTATGTAAATACTTACTTTTATCGCAACAAAATAAGCTAAAAAGAATCTGTTTGAATTGTTCTATGTCAAATTACAAGACTTTGAGTAGAGTAGCTAAAGACCGATTTTATTTGCGACTAAAAGCTATACTTTTTTTTTTTTGTGAACAGGCCAAGGCACCATTCGACCCACCATCCGCTCCTGGCATTCCCAAGATCTTGGAAGTAGGAGGAGACTTTGTTCATCTCGAATGGGATAAACCGGAAAGCGATGGCGGTGCTAGAATACAGGGTAAATATCTAGTTCATTAATCATTAGACAAATATATTTTTCCAAAGTAAAATCGGCTCTGTCGATTTATAATAAGTAATTAACTTGCTTCTAAGCTTGTGTATCAGAGAACAACAATACTTTTTCAAAGCAAATTCGGCTTTATTGAATTAGAATAACGTTGGTATTTAAACGTGATCAAAATAATAAAGAGGTTTTTATTAGAGCCCTTTATGCTAAGTAGCGTTTAAAAAACGATTGGTTTTCTAATCCATAATAATAAAAGAGGTTGAAAATTTTGTATACAGATACCATTTTTTATTGGAATATTATTAGTTCAAAGTTTTTGTGAAAGTATAATAAGGAATGCCAAGATACTCAGTTCTGATATTTTTTTTAATATATTTTCAGGCTACTGGGTTGATAAACGCGAAGTGGGCACAACGACATGGCAAAGAGTGAATGCACTCATTTGCTTGCCCAATCAGCTCAACTGTTCCAACCTGATCGAGGGTCGCCAGTACGAGTTCCAGGTGACTGCGCAGAACGAGGCTGGCTTGTCGCCGCCTAGCTCTGCCAGTCAACAAGTCAAGGTCGTCGATCCTAAGGGTGAGACTTTTAAATATAATATTCTTCTCTATGTATTCTTCTTTCCCCCCTTTGATTCTTTACCAAATAGAGGAAGAGAAAGAAAAGTAAAAACATATCAAATAATTTTGTTAATACGAAAGTTAAATAATTAACAAAAGTATAATTCGTATGATGAAACATGTCAACTGAGGGTCTATTCTATTTGTTCTCAATGAAAATTTCGAATCGGTAAAATTTTGTTAAAATCATATCTGTATCTATCTGTGCATCAAAAATAATCGAAAAAAGCCATCCTTAAGAGTCGTATTAGCATTTTGAAAACGCGACCAAATTTCGTATCCGGAGAAATAGAATAGACCTTTCGGTCGTGCAGTGTACAGAATATTTTATTAGTAATAAAATTCTAATTGACATCTAATCATTGTTTTCTCTCTTAGCCGCCACTCCTCCGGAGATCGTGAAACCTCTGAAGAACGCTAACTGCATTCAGTACCACAACGCTAAATTCCAATGTACTATCACTGGTTCACCGAAACCGACCATCACATGGTACAAGGGTAAGTGATTTATTCCATTAGCAAATTAATAGCTTAGCTTAGAATATGGCTTATGCCGGTTGGTATGGTTACCAGTTAGCCGGTACATAATGTATAAGTCGGTTTCATTGGTTTTTACGCAATTTCTATCAATATATTTATGGTAATTGATAAGTTTGTATAAAAAAATAAACATTGAAGATGGACCTTCACCGGCCACGTGGGCCTAGTACGGATTAATGCTCGTTAACGTCTCTAGGTACAGCTGGAACCAACAGCTTCTGAAGTATAGAGGAGCTCGAGATAATACATTTTAGGTCACCCATCCTACGACCAGCTATTCATTGCGCTAATGCCGAGCTTCTCTCTTTGAAAGGGATTAGGAACAATTTTTTTTTTTTAATATGCCACTTTGAAACTTTTTACTTTGCATTGCAGCCCTAGTTCATATATAGCTGATATAGCAACTGTTTCAAAAATTTTGAAATGGCCATCATCTAAAAGTTTTTCATCGTTCAGGTGCACGCGAGATTACTAACGGTCCTCGTCATCGTATATGGAGCGAAGGAGACAACCACTTCTTGACCGTTGTCGATGTATTCGGCGAAGACGCCGATGAGTATGTTTGCCGCGCTGTCAACCGCGCAGGAGTCAAGAGTACCAGAGCAGAGTTGCTCATCATGAGTGAGTATTATTTATTGTGTCTAGGCTGTTATAAATACTAGTGAAAGTTAAAAAACCAGCCAAGTGCGGTTCCGTACCATTATTCCTAAACATAAAAAAACACGTTTGTTTTATGGGATCTCCTAAATTTTTTTTGATTATTTGGAATTCTTGTTATAGTGACAACAGAAACCGACACATCTCTAAATATTATCAATGAGATTTGTGATTGTTTTTGTTATTTCCAACAGCCGCGCCGAAGCTGAACGTGCCACCTCGTTTCCGTGTGACCGCATACTTCGACAAGGGCGAGAACGTCATAGTGAAGATTCCCTTCACCGGACATCCGGTGCCCAAAATCACCTGGGTCAGAGAGGGAGAGACGATAGAGTCTGGATTGCACTACCATGTCGAGAGGAAAGGTATGCTGTTAACATTATTAGTCTCACCATTATCTTATTAAATGTTCCTGCTGCTGGGCCACAATTTTTCCTATGGAACTTGGAAATGGGAATTTTGTTTTATTTTTAAATATATTTATTTTTCAAAGCTTACTTTCATTGATATATATTCCTTTTGCCAGTGGGTGCTTGGTAAAGATTAACCTTCGAAATAAAGTTTATTTTAGTGCAGAAAACTATCTATTGACTTATATTTGTATTTCTAGAACGGCATGCTATCCTGACCATTCGGGACGCTAGCAAACTGGACTCTGGCCCATACAGGATAACGGCCGAGAATGAACTTGGACAGGACTCTGCCATTGTCAACATCGAGATTAGCGGTCAGTTTGTGTTGTGTTTTAATAAAATTATTATTATTTATAGTAATGCCTGCATCATCATCTACATAGGATTTGTCAATAGGAGCAAAAGGCAATGCAATAAAAAAACTATGTTTACTTAAAAATTTTAGGATTCGTTTAACTTTATATAATAATTAGTTTTGACACAACTTCATGCAAAATATAGATTTTGGATAATATATGTATTTTCTAAATTGGTCTCTTGGTCTTTATTACTATTCATATTTATGAAGTTGGCAACTGTCAGGCTTATACGCGTCGCTATTTTATGACTTCGGGTTCAACTACAAATGTCAATGGGCCCTAATCCGGTATGCCATAATACGTCGATTTATAAAAAAAAAAATCTACATTTTACTTACCTTCAAATTTAAGCAATGCGACGCAATATGGTCATTTGATAGTTGTATTCTTATTTGGCTCATATAGCAAAGCTAGAAATGAAAAGAAAGGGAAACGAAACATAAGAATGGCCGGACGCTATATGGTAATATAATTTTATGAACAGATCGCCCAGACCCGCCTCGTTTCCCGGCCGTGGATAACATCGGCGTGGACTCATTGGCGTTGAGTTGGAAGGCTCCAGTATGGGACGGAGGCTCTGATATCACCAATTATCTGGTTGAGAAACGTGAGCACCCCATGACATCCTGGATCAGAGTTGGTAATACAAGGTAACAATAATAATTGTTTGTAGAGGTTTTCTTTTAGGAAAAAATTTACCCGAACCCTGAACTATGAAACTTTATTTTAGGTTTAGGTACAAAAAGCTGAATATGTGCAAGAATCATCTGACCTTTGAGTTTTCAAATAATTTGTTTCAAATGTTATCTGAAGCGGTCACAGTTTGTTTACTATTTCCTAGCGCTAGTGTGATTAAATATTTTCAACATCCTTTTTGCTTGACACTCATAAATTCTTATGTAATTTCGGGATTATTCACTTATCTTTTTTTTTTAATAGTAAATATACGGCTTATAGCATCAATATCTGCCTTGAAGTACCAAAATTTATATAAAATTTGATTTCTCTTTAGATTCACGACGATGGCCATCACTGGTTTAGTACCAGGCAAACAGTACGAGTTCAGAGTGTACGCTGAGAACATTTACGGACGCTCCGAACCAAGCGAACCCACCTCTCTGGTGCAGACCAAGGCAGTTGTCAAGAAGGAGTTCAAGAAGAAAGAATATCCAGGTGACTTTCACTGTTATTACTGTTGTGTTTTCTCAAACCCAGTTGCACAAACGTCTATTGAATTTTTCCTTAGTTTAAAGCGACCCATACAAATTTTTAAATTTCGAACTTGAAAACGTCATTAAACCTTTATGCAAAAAGGTGTTGCTTTGGATTTTCAATCAATTTAACCTAATTCATTTATTCTAAATAAAATTTACCACAATACTAAAAACAGGAATATGAATAGAGATTCCTTCGCTTTTCGTATATAATGATAATTAAAATTTGAGAAATGTAAACATTCGTTAAATCTAAATTAGAATAGGAAAACAAGGCTTTATGAATAATAACTCCTTTGCCTTATGTTTTAAATTATAGATTTCGTTATGTTGCCAGCTACAAAAATGCATTATACTACTATATTTAAATGAAAATGAAATATTTCACAAAACACATTGTTTAAATATGATTTTTTCCCTATAGTTGACGAAACCGGCAAACGTATCCGCACTAACGCAGACCACGGCCCCATTAAGGACTACGACAGCTACGTATTCGATATATACAGCAAGTTCGTGCCGCAGCCAGTAGACATCAGGACATGTTCCGTATACGATAAATACGACATACTAGAAGAGATTGGTGAGTCTCTGTTTATAAAAAGAGTAGAAAAGTAATGGAAGTTTAATTTTGTTTGATAGATTTATACTGAAGGGTCTGTTATTATGATTTGAGTATTCACTTGTGATGACTATTTTAGTGAATTTTACATTAGAGTGACCAACCGTCCTGTTTTCTTAGGACAAGTTCATGTTTTAGTGTCCTAGATATTTTTTAATCAGCGTCCTGAGTTTTAAGAGTCCTTGATAAAATCATGAGTTTTGAAATTAAAGCGGTGTGTTAAGCAATTTTTACGTTACGACTGACGAATGGTTGAGCACGAATTAATCGCTAAGGCCTGTATGCGGGTCGCTGATAGGCTTTAGTCATTGGTCAATAAACCAATGACAGATAATGACTGACAAATAAAATGAGACACAGAAATCATCTGCACTCTGCCTATATCAATGAGATCGATGTTAATGAGTTATTGATTTATAAAAAACTATTTCAGTATTAGTTTTTTTTTTTTTCATAGATTGAACACATTATGAATTTGAAAATAATACAATATTGTCATAAAAATAAGATTCTTCGAAAAATTTACTACTTAATTCAAATGCTATAGTGCATTTGCTTGTAACAAACAATACGATACTGTCTTTGGTTGTATATTTCTTATTAAAAATATGCCGATAGGGTTACTACAATACCTTTTCACAGTTGAGTTTGCTCTCTATCGTTAAGCTTTAAAATTGAGTGAAAAAAATTTACACATTTATACAATCTGACGTACTTTTGAATACAATAGAAATTCTATATCGTTAAAATAATGTGTTGTGATTTTTTGCATGATAATAATATTAGAACTAAAACTGACTCACGAAGTTACTTACGGAAGCATCATGAAAGCGTACGAATTTGATATTAATTGGTCCATTTATAAGAAATATCATTAATCATGCTAAAATATTGATTTCATTTAATGATTGACGCTCATTTATATTGGTCGATGGTGGTGGCCTCATAAGAACTTCGAGCGATCGTTGCTGGACAATAAAATGAACGATAGAAATCGTGAGCGCACTCAATTCGAACAAATTCAATAATGTTAAGGCGCCATCACATTGTACTATCCAACTGAAACTTCATTTGATCACCTAATAGAAGATTTATTATTAAAATATTAGATAAAAAAACATAGCCACGAGATCCAAAAAACTTCGGTTTCCAAATAATAAATCATTCCTTTAAGAAAATTATTCAAATATGCATGTCTCAATACTAATCCAGCATCAGTTTTAAATAGAATATAACACTACCATGAAATGGACCAAAAGAATGTAGATTTGTTCCAATAACTTAGCTATACTAACATCAGAGCATATTGAACCTAAACCTTGGTACAATTAAAGATGAATTTCGCAGGTGACTTCGTGAGAGGGTCGACTAAAAGGAAACACGCCGGAGGTCTGTGTGTGAATAGATCGATGTAGTGCATCTCTCTCTCTGCATCTCTCTGTCTCACACGCATACTTTTTATTATATTTATATGAAAAGTTTATATGGCATGCTGTAATGATTTGAATATATTTTCTCGGTTTTGTAGATCTGTGACGTTTAGTTCTATTGATATGAAACAGACATAAAACATTTCAAACCAATAGTACTTATATTATTTTCAAATTTAAAGAAAAAACTGGTTTGATTTGTTTTGAAGATTTTTGTAGTTACAATAACTTATAGACTGTGGTTATATATTATATAAAATATATTTACATACAATATTTTAGTATCTGCACGTTTTCACACAACTTCTATAAGATATTTATTTTAGTATTTATATTTTATACGTTAATGGGAATGCGCGTCTTATTAGATATATCACAAAATACTTAGATAGATTAAACTTCTTATACACAGTGTATCAGCTAGTTTAATTTGAACTTTAAGTTGTAAGGATAGAGTTTAAAAACTCAGATGCATGAGGTATTTTCAACTGTTGTAGGCACAGGCGCGTTCGGAGTTGTCCATAGATGTCGCGAGCGTGCCACTGGCAACTACTTCGCGGCCAAATTCATACCGGTCAGCGGTGCGATGGAGAAGGAGCTAATAAAGAAAGAGATAGACATAATGAATCAACTACACCATAGGAAACTGATCAATTTGCACGACGCGTTCGAAGATGACGATGAAATGGTGTTGATATTCGAGTTGTGAGTATTTTTATTAGCATTGTTTGAAATATAAGCAATTTATATAGTTGCGAACAAACCGAATTAAGTCAAAATATATTTTTAAGTGTTTCAACTGGTAAAAATCTGAACTGAACAATGTCAACTATTTGACGTTTCGGAAATTACCCTCCGCATAAATATTATTTTGAACAATCATCTAAATGAATACCGTTATGACGTCAGCCTCTCCGGCGGCGAGTTGTTCGAGCGTATCACTGAGCCCGGCTACAACATGAGCGAGGCAGAGGCAGCCCACTACATGAGACAGATATGCGAGGGAGTGAGACACATGCACGAACAGAACATCATACATCTCGACTTGAAACCAGAGAATGTGATGTGTCAGACGAGAACCGGCACCGATGTCAAGGTAAGGAGAGCAATGTGTTTATATAAATATTGATATAAAACTAACTGTGATTACTCCCGTTGAAAAATTGCCATAAAAATATAGTCTCCGTTCCTCAGTGATAGACAATATATCATTGCACTGGTAAAAAAAATCTTTCAAATGGGTCCGGTAGTTTTGTCTATTTATTAATTATGTTAAAAATGTGAATATTATTAAGAAGCGCAGCAGCCCAGTGTTTCATCTACCCGTTATAAGATGGCACCGAATAAAGCAGTAGTTCTTATAGAAGTAGTTTCTTTTTACTTGTTATAAGAAGGAATTATTACAAAAGACTTTTCATCGTCTAATTTTGGATGGATTCTCTTACGATAAAAGAACACTTTTACATTATTTTCCTTCAAAACACCGACCCTTTTGGAAAAACCCGGCACTGTACAAGCCACCTTTCATGCCATTGTTCATAACTATAAAACACGGCAAAATTCACTTAAATTAATATTTTAATTTAAAACTGTAGAATCAGCTGTGTATCAACCAAAATGCCGTTTTGCGACTTGTACCGCGCAGCGTTTCAAGTCGTACGGGAGTGCTCTCCCTTTGTCACTTGTAATTTTGACTTTTAAATTGTGGAGTAAGATATAGGTGAATTGTTCAACTAAAATGTAATCATCTATATAAATAATAAATCTATGGTGTACATGATGACTTGACGGCATCTTTATCCCTAGGAAACTGTTTAGTGGAATAAAAAATCCCTATATGTAAATGTACGCTGAGAAACAACCGTATTCTAATTTTCATCAAAATGCGTTCGGCAGTTTTTGCTCGAAAAACTAATAAACATCCGAACCTACATAACTTTCGTCTTTATAATATCAGTAAAATGGTACTATTCTGTTTCAGTTCTTTGTGATATCCAGATTTACAAAATCAAATAATAAATTAATTATTATTGTAACTTGAATGGGTTACATTTACATTACCAGAAGTCTTAAGATGATTACTTAGATGCGGACACTGTAGTGAGACATTTTTCTACTCGTTGATAACACCAACCCGCTCCATTGTCGTTAATAAGGTCCCAAGTGCAGCAATCTGTTTTATTTCACTTCCAATTCTGCGTTAGAAACGATATCAAAGTATATAATAATATAATATCTTAAAAAAGCATAAAAACAAGTATAATATTACTACAAGTATATATTTACTAATCGATATTTTTTATAGATCATCGATTTCGGCCTGGCGACTAAACTGGACCCCAACGAAGTTGTAAAAATATCAACGGGCACTGCGGAATTCGCCGCCCCAGAGATAGTGGAACGGGAGCCTGTCGGTTTCTACACAGATATGTGGGCAGTGGGCGTTCTATCTTACGTTCTGTGAGTTTATTCATTCATTCGTTCATTTCTTTAAGCCACGCTATAATTATAAGTATTAATTTATCGTAGTAATAAGGTATCTCCTCTATGTCAGTATTAGTGTGATAATCATGTGGTTTCAACAGTTTGTCCGGCCTGTCACCGTTCGCGGGTAACAACGATATTGAAACATTGAAGAATGTGAAGGCATGCGACTGGGAGTTCGACGAAGAAGCCTTCCAGCACGTTTCCGATGATGCCAAGGACTTCATCAGACGTCTATTGGTCAAGAACAAAGAGTAAGTATATCCTTTGTTTTGAATTTTTAGAAGAACCTTATTATACAATACTAGCTGTTTTTCCGCGATTTTGCACGCCTTAATTATAGCCTATGTCAACCCGGTATGATGTAGCTACCCGGAGGTGAAAGAATTTTTAATATCGGTCCAGTAGTTTCAGAACCTTTTCAATGCAAACAAACAAACAAACAATGAAATCTATGCTCTTAAGTTGTACCAAAATCAACTCCAAACACTATCCAATGTGGTAGGGATTGTGCTTGGAGTTGATTTTGGCTAGACCACGATGTGGTTTAAAATGAGTTTTGATCGTAAAAATAGATTAGATCCGCTGCTGCTATATTGAATTGTGTAGTATTGATGTCCTGTACTGTACCTTTATCGAAAATAGTCGGTTTATATTTTACTTCAAATTCACTATTATAATGATGTTTGTATCGCAGGAAACGTATGACCGCTCACGAATGTTTGATGCATAAGTGGCTAGCGGGAGACGCGGCTGCAGCTCGCACCGCTAAAATTGAAGCGAGGAGATACGAGGCCATGCGCGATAGATTGCGGGCCAGATACCTCGTGAGTATTATAGTGTATTCAAAATATTAATTCACTCATTCGGTCGCTCGATCACTCTTCATATTCTATATTACTGACGCCATGCAAGACAGATTGGGTGAAAGAAACATTCATTTATAAGTTCACTCATTCATTTGCTCAATCACTCATTTGTATTCTATATCACTGAGGTCATGCTGGATAGATTGCAGGCCAAATATTTCGCTAAATTTACTATTCATACACTACCGTCGTTCACTCACTCGATTACTCATTTGTGTACTATATCACTTCAGCAACAATCAATTAATGTATCCACTTGTTTATCGCAGGATTGGTCGTCATTCGCGTTGCCGATCGGCAGGCTAAGCGAGTACAGTTCGCTACGAAAACTTCTTGTCGAGAAATGGAAGATCTACGATGGACAGTTCGGTGAGTATACAGAATCGGGTTTCATATTTGTTAAACAGTCTACTAGAGCTGATAAGACGTGAAACAATAAATCCTTCTTAAAAACATTTGCAAATATTAGTTATTAACTAAGAATAAGAAATACGATGTTTCAAATAAAATTTTGTGAAAATATAAATCAAAATAACTAAAGTATACACAAATGTCTTACCCACAGTCAAATTATATTAAAGTTTTGTAGGGTCTTAGTTAAACATATTTAATATTACGATTTGACTCAATACTAATAATAAAATTAAATAAAAATAAAAACAAAAACGTATTTGTCATTAACTGTCGCGTCACATTGTAACGTCGCACCCATTAAAATTCTTACTCCTATTAAAATATTAAATTAGCATTCACAATGCTTAAATCTTATTTGAGAATGCCTAAAAATGCTTGTTTGGGTGTATTGCCTGAACATTAATGAAAATACGCTCTGTAGTAGCGAAAAAGTAACAATTGCTTTAAAAATTCCAAAGCCCGGATTGTGAAAGGGCGTGGGTTCGAATCCCTTTGATCAATTTTGCATTGATAAATGCTTAAACCTTATTTGAAAATGCCTCAAAATGATTGTTTGGATGTATTGCCTAAACATTAATGAAAGTATTCTCTTCAGTAGCGAAAAAGTAACAAGTGCTTGAAAAATTCCAAAGCCCGAATTGTGAAAGGTCGTTGGTTCGAATCCCATCTCTGAGTGCTTGAGACGAAGTGGATTTTTTATCACCATTATCACCGCCGCTGATAGAATATCATATTGTTTACGATCAGATCGTCGTCAAGCGGCACCTCGGTTCGTAATCAAGCCTCAGTCTGCGTTCTGCTACGAGGGACAGTCGGTGAAGCTTTACTGTCGCATTATTGCATGCGCCGCGCCCACCGTCACCTGGTCTAGGAACAATCACGAGCTGAGACAGTCTGTCAAGTTCATGAAGAGGTCAGTACTGTAGATGAAAAAAGTTTTTAATCATTGGACGATATTGTCTTTGTTTCTGTAAATCAAAGACACTTTTTTTTTCGCTTTTGTTAATTTACTAACGAGATGGAGAAGACAACCGGCTAAGCGCGAGACGGACTCTCGTAGTGTTATGTTTACGCAAAAAATACGTCTTTTGTATGGGAGTATCTGTTGTTATAGCAACAGAAATACATAATTTGTGAAAATATCACCTAACTGTTGCGGTTTATGTGATATAGCCTGGGCAGATAAATGGTCACGTTTTACTCATAGTAATGTTTAAATAAAAACATTACTACACATGATTCTTAACTCTATTATACCAGAAGGTTAACGACCCATTTTTATTTATCCATATTACCTACAGTGTGTTTAATTCCTAATAGACTACAATACTTTATATTATTATATTACTACATATTATGTTTTAACAGATACGCGGGCGATGACTACTACTTTATAATAAACCGTGCCAAGTTAGAGGATCGCGGTGAATACATAATTCGCGCTGAGAACCATTACGGCTTCAGAGAAGAGGTCGTGTTCTTGAACGTCCAACGTAAGTATACATTCTACTCAAAACTGTAATATTAAAAAAGCTGTGAACATTTATGAAGCAAAAGATATTTTTCAAGACTTTGATAACCTTAAGTCTTGCGACATCTAATTAACTCTAGTCATAAAATAATTTCGTTTTATTTTAATATCTGACATGTCTTTTGAGGTATAAATTTACAATAAATTTTACTAAATTATTAATACTGCAGTCGAATCCATAATCATAAAATACACTAAGATGTCGTGCGTATTATATGCCTAGTGAGTTCGGTGGTGACGCCCAAATCGGTTTTCACTACTACACAAGGTACGCTGTCTGAAAATATACACAGATAAATTACTCAAAATTAAATGATTTTTCATTCAGTATAGGCTAGGCTGTTAGGTAGGTATTTGCTACTTGAAAAACTATTAAAGGTTTATTTGATTGAACATCTACGCTGTGACATTACTGTGCACGTCTATAGTGTCGGATTTCATAATAGGAGTGATTCAGCAACTTTTTTACACTGGAACAGTATATCTTATGTTTATAGTTAATTCTATTTAAAACAAAATAAGATTTGTATAAAAAAAAAATAATATCGATGACATGACAAAATGTTAAAACTTTATATGATCATCAGAAATACACATTTATTTTTAATCTGCATACTCTCTATGATAGACAGGGGACTTGTTAAGATCTATCTCCCGAAGCCTCGCAGTGTTTGAGGTGACCAATTAATTCTAAGTTCACCAGAACAGTTGAAATTTTAAGATTCCATAGATTCTATCACTGACTAATTATATATAAAAAAGATTCTATAATTTCCCCTATAAAGTTCATATTAGTCAAAAGTTAACTGTATTAGTTAAACAATGTTGAAAAATGATATTTGGCAATAGTAACTGAACTAGAAATAGTTCAATCGTGTACAATTAGGTCAAGTAGTTACTATTCTATTTTTGTTAGGTACGTAGGTGTAATTTTAATCAATCTATACTGTGATGCTACCTTTGTCTCTTAAGATTAGTCTCGATCGAGTGCAAGTGATTGTTATACGATTTTTAATATAAAAACTGTAGTGATAAACTTGATATTTTTTCCGCAATTTGGTGAAAGTTTATTGGAAATAGTTTTGGAGGTTTTATGGTTGGTCTTTCATTATTTATTTAATATAATATCAGCTATCAGCTGCCTGTCATTATACTTTTAGTAAATATGTAATGAAATATAAATAAAATTAAGACGAACATCACGATCTTAATCTAGTAAATGTTTTCGATAAAATGTTATTAAATCGAAAACAAATACGCTGAAAAACACGTTAAATTATTATAATAATTATAATGAATAATTACTGTGTGCCGAAAAGTGTTTGGTATTCCATGACTATTTATTAATAATTTAGGGGGTCAAGGTTAGTATTAGGACGCCTCATCTTGGAATCTGTGCTACGTATTACAATAGATATATTTATCGCCCCTGAAACCCCCGTAAATTAAATTTCTTGACAATCATTGGTGCCGTTACCGAGATTCAGATCATATATGTTTGCGCCCTCTTGGGGCAATGGAATTTCTTCCGAAAAATAAACTCAGTTGTCTTAATATATGAATTTATTAACTCATAATTTTGAGGTGGCAATGGTTTTTTAATGAGGGGTGAATGATTGAAATATAAATTATTCAGTTATTAGTAACAGTTCGTAGGCGTGTTAGTTCAAATATGTAGGCGTTGGGCGTTACCAATATTTATACAAAAATTGCTCGTCTAAAGATACATTTATTTATGTCCGTCAACAGCGGTTCCCAAAGTTCAACGGCAACACGTGCCCGAAGCGCCGCGTAGACGCGAGGCCCTTCCGTACACGTTCTGGCAGGAGTCTAGCGAGACGGCGCCCGTGTTCACGTTCCAGCTGCGGCCGCGCGTCATGCAGGCGCGAGACACCTGCAAACTGCTGTGCTGCCTCAGCGGCAAACCCACGCCTACAGTCAAATGGTTAGTCTGTCTGTTTGGTTCATCATCGACAGCTGCTCTGGGGCTTAGCTTTGTGGATGGAATTGAATCGAATTGGGAGAATGAGCCATGGTAGGCGTTAACGACTGCAGATGCAGCCGGAACCAACGGCCTAACGTGCCGAGTTTGAGTTAGTAAATTTTCGGTCATCCATTCTATGACCGACTATTGTGAAAGTTCCTTAACAATCGAATCGCAGACCGCGCGCGCTAGCCACTACATCATCGTGCTCCTCGATCTCTCAATCTGTTCAATTGATAGTAATAAATTCTCAAACTCAAAACTCAAACTCAATATCATTTATTCAGTCTAGGCTGTTACAAGCTGTTGTTAAAGTCGAAAGCATTTACGCTTTTATATATTTTTTGTTTTTATTCACCTTATCAAGCTAAGTTCACCTTATTATCTTATCATAATGTTATTCCTTTAATATCACATTTGCTCAAGTTTCGAAACGTTTAAAATTTATTAACAACATTATGTAGCTCTATTATGGTGTTAAAAGAAAACTGGTACTTAAACTCTTCGTTCATTGCACAGGTACAAAGACAGGAAAGAACTGTCGAAATATGACTACTCGATGACTCACTCGGACGGCGTGGTGACCATGGAGATTGTAGACTGTCGACCTGAAGACAGTGGGAAGTATACGTGCGTGGCTACGAACGTGCACGGCACCGACGAAACATCTTGCGTCGTAATTGTGGAAGGTAAATATTACTTTTTTTTTACTTTATTACAGAATAAACAAACAATATAATGGTTCATGAGCTTATTCACAAAAAGGTATATAAAACGATAGTGGATTTAAGGCATGCTAGGAAATAAAATCATTGAAAGATATTTTTAATAACAAGTAAAGGATCTATTATTTTATTATCATTATCGGCATCATTATGAACAGATTAAATTTGGGATAAAATATTCATTACTTTATAGTCTGTTCATAATTATATATTTAATAACTAAAGCTTTAATAAATAACAAATTTTGTTGTTTATTTAAAATTATAATGCAAAATTATAATTATTTCTTAATATTTTACGAGAATACTTTTATGCTTAAACAAATTAATATATTCATTTCTGTTATTATTCTTTAGGTGAAGTAATATCACCCGAGCAAGCCGCGTTAGCGCACAACTTCCTACATTCGGGCGATCGCCGCTACATAGAGAAACCATTGAAACCGGCACCACCACCTATTATTACCAAAACAAAGGTAACACTGAAATACATAATTTAATAAGGAAATTAATGTATAGGTCATACGGTTGTCACTATAGTTTAGGTACTCTATTCATGAAACACAAATCAGTGACTTCATACGTTCTGGAATAGTAACACCAGATTGGAACAGTTATAATTTTTCTAATTGTAATGTGTGAATGAAGATTAATGTTAATAACATAAAGTTGCTGATAGACTTGAGTATTCACTTGTTCAGAATATCGAGCGTTCGCAATTCTGAATGCCGAACTACAGAACGAACACAGCCAAATATCGTTACCAATATTCTAGCGAACGTTGTAGACTATGCTAGTTAAAAATGTATCAGTCACGAAGGTGTCAATAATGATAATTACTCGTCAATTTTATATTAAGACTAAATGTCATTAGTTGTAATCATATCACTATTCATAAGCATTAAAAATGGTTTATAAATTGCAGGTAACAATCGACCCACCAGCGAAATCTCACGCCGGACCTAGACCAAAGTACTCCCCACAAAGTTCCGTCGAAGCCAGCAAGAAGAAGTATGGCGCCAAATTAGATTCAGATACCTCTTCTAGATCTAGGAGTGCTACTAAGGAATTAGTTTGTGAGTATTCAGTACATTCAGTGTATCATTTTTAAATATATTTGTCATTCTTTTTTCATCTTTTTCGAAGGACGTTATTGAAATTTCATTAAAGGTTATGATATTAATGACTACACTACTACCACATACGACTATAGGTCTACTAAGCAACCGAACGCTACTTATGGCCCACCTCATACTCATCACACGGGCCTACTACGGATTGGTGGATATTAATGATAGCAGAGCAACCGGGACTAACAACTTACGTGTCATTCGAAGCATCGAAGAGTACGAAATTATATATTTTCGGTTACCCATCACAGGACTTGTCCTTTCGAAAGTCGCTTAAACAACATTTTTTTTAGGAAATCTACATTATTTTCGACTTTTTATATGATTTATGTGTCAATAAAATAGGTTTATGGTTATATATAGATTTATTTTTAATGTACAATTGATATTGTGTTTGCTTCAGAATAAAGTATAAACGGGAATATTTCAAATGTCATAATAAATCTGAAATATACCTAGCGAATAACGGTTTAATAATACTGCAACAATTTCAGTGCCAGCTTCGGACTCGACGATGTGCGCACCGTCATTTGCGCGTGCGCTTCCAGATGTACTATCCGCTAAAGACGGCACCCCACTTCTGTTATCATGCTCAGTACGCGGAGATCCAGACCCACGAGTACAATGGTACAAGAATGGAAAACCATTGCACTCATCTGAGGTAATAAATCTAAATACTTGACAAACTTTTATACAACTGATGAGGCTCATTGATGAACCTCGATAGAAAAGCTAAATTCCGAAGCGCGTCAAATGTCGACCAATCAGAACGACTCTTAATATCACGCCATCGGACGATCCACCAATATCCATTATTAGCCAAGTCACATTATTTTAAATCTAATATGGCGGATGATCTAAGATGGCGGCCGACAGTAAATGACTATACTGTACAGTAACTTTATACTATATTGTAATTGCTGGGAGAATGTGTTCCTGACGTTTGTCAAATACTTATGAGGGGCCATCACGTTACATGGGGGGGGGGTCACGACGAAACGAATGGACGGACAGCCCTATGGACGGCCCTTGACTAGTGATGAGCAAAAATTAATATTTATATAATTTCACTTACCCAATACAATTAAACGCTTATAAGTTTCGATCAAGTACCGAAATAAATATTTGTTTCATAGTTATGTTGTTAAATTCCGACGCATATTCTCGATGGCCACACTGTAACTCCAATATGGTGGACTATTTATCCTGAAACAATTAAGAATATTCCGAAAAAGAGAAAGCTTGTTTATCTAAACTCATAAATCAAATATTAGTTTTATTATTAAGTAAACAACTAACTAATTGTCCCCGTGAATTTACACGCGTAAATTATAGCCTATGTCTATCCCGTATGATGTAGCTACCCGTGTAGGTACATCATACGTTTTTTTTTTAATCGGGCCAGTATTTTCAATGTCTGTACGATGTAAACAAACAAACAATGAAATTTTTCCTCTTCATAAATAAGTATAGCCAAGCAAACAGTTATTATAGAGCCAATAATCTTATTCATCAGGTTGTCGATTTGAAATACAAAAATGGTGTAGCGTCACTAGCGATCAGTGAAATATTCCCGGAAGACGAAGGCGAATACTCATTGAAGGCGATCAACAGCCAAGGAGAGGTAGAAACCAAATGCAAGGTCACCGTCAAGCGTGAGTATATGTCATGATTTAACCTACATTTTAAGCTTTACTGGCTAGTTAATAAGGATCGCAATTTATAAATAACATGAAGTGTTGAATCGGTCACGTGATTTATTTCCGTGTTGAGCCAGACACGTGACCGCAACGACACGAGAAAAACCTTTAAATTATATAATTTTAATTATAATAAACATGTACACATATTCAGAAAAAAAAATCTGTTCAAATTGGTCTTGTTAAGACTTAGTCTCGATATAATCAAGTAAAAAATATTTTTATATATATTTTTTTTATTTCACAGATCATATTGCCAAGTTTTTGCATCTAATTTACTTTTTATTTGCATTGAAATTTTGATAAAAAAAATACAATTAATACAAAAATTGTGGATATTTTTTGATGTATTTAAAATAAGTTTTGAAATATCCTCAACATCTGGATTGTTATTGCAGCTATGGACAGTACTGCGGTGGCTAGCGGTAAAACTGGTGACAAACCACCGCGGATAGTTGACCATGCGACTTCGCAAATCGTCAATGATGGCGACGCCGTCACACTCTCGTGCAGGTGAATATAAGTTATAGCAAATACATCATCGTCAATCCCTCGACGCTCGCCCAATGCGCATTGGACGGCTTTAATGACTGCAAGTGGACCAACGGCTTAACGTGCCATCAGAAACACGGAGTAGCTCGGGTAATAATTTTTCGGTCACCCATCCCGTGACCGACCATTGCGAAAGTTGCTTAACAATAACGATCGAAACTCTTCATCATCAGCTTATCAAAGAGTTAACAATGACAAACACAGTCGGGATCAATGGCTTAATATGCCGCGTTGTTTAAATGAGTTTTCCGAGTGTAAAAACTTTTTATTTCCCTACTAGAATTGTCGGAGCCGAAAGGTTTGACGTAGTCTGGCTCCACAACAACAAGGAGATCAAACCGTCGAAGGACTTCCAGTACTCCAGCGAGGCGAACATACACAAATTGCACATCGCTGAAATATTCCCAGAGGACGCCGGTACGTTTACTAAGATAACAATCCTACTAATATATTATAGATAAATGCGAAAGTATGCGAGGATGTTTCATGAGATGAGACGAGTTTCATGAGATACTGCAAAATGCTATCATTTGTAGATCTAATTTATATCGGAATTGTAAATCGCAATCATCTTATTAATGTTCCTATTGTAGAGGCATAGGCCGTCTCCATAGATATTTAGAATGGAATAGGAAGAATGGACCATGACCCACCACATGGGCCCAGTTGGGTTTGTGGATGTTGACGACTATAGATGCATGATGTTTTACTTATAATAATTTGTTACGTTATTCTTAGTTTTTTGTTCAGAAAGAGAAGTGTTAAGTGTAGTACCCCGATTTTTTTCTAATATTAATAACACATGGCTTCACGTCATGTTGTGATATATGTCAGATTTTCTCAATTGATTTTGAAGTCTAACCATAATGCATTAAAACTTAATATCAAGTTGTGGAGATTGTCAATTATACCCCACGTACTGACTGTACATTATGATTGTCCAGGTGTGTACACTTGCGAAGCTTTCAATGATGCCGGCGAGACGTTCTCATCATGCTCATTGGTAGTACTGGTGCCAGGAGAGGCTCCTGCTCAGCCACAATATAAAGAATTCCCAGCATCAGCCACAGTGGCCACATCTGAACCGGCTGTATTCAACGCGGAATTAGATAAGGTAACCATTGTCTACCAAACTATGTCGACACTTCTCAACTTGAGGTTTACTCATCTGGCATTGTCAACTAACTTTAGTTTTTATTTGGAAATTAATAATACACACTAAAATCAATTAAGTACTCAAAACTATATGTACGCGAGTAAGCAAAACGTTAATTGCGCATTATAAGATTGTCATATTACAGAGAAATCAAAAATATGTCTCATACACGATAACAAGTACATACCTTAAATTGTGAATTCGGAACAAGTACGTCAAATGTAATATTTATTTTCACAGCCCCTACTCCAGCTTCAATGGTTGAAGGACGGCAAACCTATCGACGAGACATCCACTAGGTACAGATTCACGATGGAAGGCACGTCCCGATACAGGTTCGAGATCGCAAAGGCGACTAGCGACGACGGCGGCCAGTATCAAGCCCGCGCCGTCGGATCGAAGGGCGATTCTTTCGCGGCCTTCTATCTTAACGTCAGTGACGCATAAAGAAAAAATAAAACGAACAAGGACTGACATATACAAATAGAGACCCAAGATAGAACCTTGGGGTACCCCCTTATGAATGATTACGAATATTGAGCTAAACGATTTTTTTATATACAATTCGGAGTCTAAGTGTGTAAAGGAGTTTCTTTTTTTATATTTAAATTAAATTATTTATTAATTTATTAAGTACTCATAAGTGTTACACCTTATCGAATGCCTATGAGAAGTCGCTCGGACGAAATCCTCGCTCTCTAGTCACTGTTAACGTTTAAATGTTATTTATTTATTGTCGAATTTATCAGTTGTTATTATTTTGTATCTTCTGTTTCTTAATTTTTATATATCGTCCTGGCCTAACAGATTTTTAATTGCAGCTTCCTAAAAGTTTAAGCTTGAGTTTAATCAATGTTGCGATAGATTTTGGTCGAGTTTCATAGTTGACCCTCCACTGAATATTTAAGCGCCACCTTGAAATATTCTTTGGACCGTCGACACAGATTCCCGGCCATTATCTTATAATTATTTTTATATTATTGTATTATTTAATTGTACATAATTTAATTTATATCATGTGACAGCGTAAATTATAAATAAATATGTATACCTTAAAATTATAAAGGAGTGTTTTATTTTTTTACCTATTTATTAAATAACACTGGCGAGTGGCCTGTAATCACATCAGAATATGTTTACTTGGGACGACAGTCTACAAGCAGGGTTCCCCCAATAAAAATCCATGGATCAAGATTCGGCGTTGTTGTGTCTTTACACGTAAAATACACATACCATGAGGAATAGAATCTTGTGTATCCATATCCGACATAATATTGTTGGATAGGGAATAAAGAACCCTTTCCTTTAATGTTGCACATAAGTAAATAATAGATGAGTGTATAATTATCAGCTGTTAACTGTTCGATGCTGACTACTTCATTGACCTTATGTACAACCTAGGCAATAAATATTTTTCCAACCCTTCTGGTCCTCATACCTCTTGATTTACAATAATAGTTATTGAGTATATAATATGTACAAGTTAAATGAATGTACTTTTATCAATTTTTCCTAGAAGTAGTTCCAATTTCTCCTATTAGGTATAATATCTATGCTTGTGCGGCATTGTTAGAGTGCTCTTCTAATTAATTAATAATGGGTGTTAATTAGTCTAAATATTTACAAAATAAAAAAAGTATTTTCAGGCGCTAGCTGCGATGCAATTTATGGTTTGCCGACATCCATTTGAAAACCCTGAGCCTTGATGACCATGCCTCACAGCGAACATATTTGACTTCCAAATCATCGTAAGCACGGGATGGCGTCGACTGTTCATAATATCTATTACAAATAATACATCAATTTTGATTAATGTCGAAAAGATATATTGGCAATATTAATATAATATTAATTTTTGCAATGATTTTTAAAATAAATAACATCATAATGTGAAGTTGGGATAACTGAATTCGTATTTAGCAAAAATAATTTTTGTGTTTTGGCAATATACCAATTACTTTTTGTCATTTTTCTTTAAAATAAACATCATTAGCATCGTATATGCAAAATCATTAGACTTTTTAATATGGTCATATTTCTAGAGAAGATTTAACACGGTCTTCCTAGTTGATCACAAATAGCCTAGAAAATTGAAATGTCAGACCATGTGAAATGAAATGAATTTAAAGTCAAAAATCATTTATTCACGAATATACCAGTATACACCAAGTTGTTTTTGATTAGTCCCAGCCAGCCAGTGGTTCCCAAACTTTTCATCATTGTTACCCCCATATGTTTAAATATTATAAATCTATAAATATGCCGCGGATATTTGGTTTTGTAAAGTCATTTGTGGATTGTCAATCATCAATTATATTTATAATCTGTTAAAATTGCTGATTGGTCGAAGGATCATGGCCTAGTGCTTGATTTATCTAAAAGTGTTTCAATTATTTTGGGAACCATAGCGCAAGTCAAAATTAAAAATTAGTATAAAACCTCCAATTCGGTTTTCAACACACCAAAATTTAAATTTACCATTGCCTAAATTTAAGATTCTTTTAAAATTGTCTGGTTAGTAAAGAACACAAATACTGTTAATGAATATCTAAACGACAAAACTCCTTGGTGTTAAATGTGGCTTTATTTTTCACATGTATATAGAGGTTATGTGTAGCGGCAGTATCATGCAGTTTATCGTTTATCATTATTATTTGATATGAATGACACCATATTTTAATGAAGTCATTTTTAAATCCTGACGACTCTTTATGAAATAAAACAGGGAGAAGAAAGCAGCCCTTGCCGAGTTTCCTTTGTAACAACCTAGACTGATTAAATAATTTTGATTTGATTTATTAGAGACGCTTGATTCTTTTTAAAAATATTGTTTCATTTAAATTATGCGGATATTGTTTATACTCTATGTTTAAAACGCATGTATGAGATTCTGTTATGCAATACGTAGAAGAAGTAAAATTTCACCATATTTATTGCCAAGGCGTATACTCAATATGTTTAACATTTGTATTCTCAAATATTTATGCTTTATTTATAGACTGTTTCACATTAAATGAACATTTTTTAAAGTAAATATATCAGCAATAAAATCAATCCTTCGTTAAGAGATAGGGGTCCAATGTTACATTTTTGGTAGTATAGATTTCTTTAAGTTTGCCTCTGCTAAAATATGGAATGACTTTCCACCTCGTTCATCAAATTTAATATAATCGCAATCTTAAAACATTTCGTAAGTATTTATAATAATAAAGAATGTCTTCTTAGACAGCAGACTCTTGCTCTGGGTGTATTAACCTCTATTTCTAAAAATATTCTAACAATGCAACATGTGTTAAGTATAGCTCTTAGTAACTTTATTTATGTGTATTCATTAATTTTCATTAATTTGAGGTTAGTGTGAAGATGTTCTGACATAATATACATTTTATGATTGAAGTTTTTTAGAAAACTCTATGATACTAGGGTTATATTCATAGTATGGTGTATAATCATCATCTATGTGGTTTTGTTGGATGGCTAGAATTTGGTGAACGATTTTAACTCTTGATTATATCTGTGAGTATAATCGTTTTGTGTGAAGTGAGGACACGCACCGGTAATATGCTGCACATTTTCAATACATGGCATTTGTAGCTGTGGAATTTTTGTTTGTGCATTTTCTGTAATTTTTGATGTTGATGATTTGTTCCTGAATTGCAATAATATAATATTCTGTTTCCGGGAATAAAGAACTTATTTTTAACAATTGTCGAAGGTCATTATCGTTTCGTCCATGCAGCACATTCTTTCTCCATTGTTCCTTTGCTATTTCAATATTATTAATATTATATGCTTTGATGTTCCGGCCGGAGGTGTTCAGATGGCAATCTAAAAATTACAGCTGTATTGACGAAATGCTGTCAGTCTACTTTGGAAAATTTGGATTCTCCACCGCGTCTGATAGGTGTACCGACTCGATCTCCTTGTGCGACATGGCGGCTGAAGACTAGAACTACCTATTATTACTACTATTTTGTTATGTTTAATACATAGTTTTATTTTTTATAATTTAGGATTATATCTGTGACCTTTTATAAAAACTAATTTTATCTCGACCTTAAATATTTGTATACAATTACGTACAGGTATATTTATTAATAAGATAATAAGTCACGATTATTATATTTGATCAATTTTACATTCATAATGCTGTACTGACAAATATTCCTAATGAAAAATGCTTAAAAAATACACCAGCGCCAGGTACTCTGAGATAGGAGTCGAACCCATGACCTTTCGCAATCCCGGCGGCTGCTCTAACCACTGAGCTGCGCAGGATCCAACCGGACTGTCGAATTTCTTAAGCACTTGTTACTTTTCGCTACTATTCATGATATTGATCTATCAAAGATTTGCATGCATTAGTTTTTGATATTAGGTTTAGTTTCGGTTAAAGCATTTCTTCATTTCAATCATGATACACTCGGAGACGGTTTAATTTTCCTTTCAACGATTAATCTCAAATAATAAGTTAACTATCTCCACTAACCCCATAGAATAACTGATTTACCCCCGGGGGGTAACTTCACCTAGGTTTGGAACCACTGGACTAAACAAACGACTTGTATCCCACGTAGAAATAATCAACATAGCATCGTACGAATACGTGACACAGCACAAACGTATCTCGTATTCAAAATACACTTATTTTAAAATATGAAATCCCGAGAACAAGTTGAGATGGTGGTTTATTTTTTTGTCTTTTTTCTTTATCGAGATCGACCGACGATGACTGGAGTGACGCGACTATGCTTTTGTTATTTATAGATGCATACTGCTTTTATAAATCCCAAATGAAGATTACGAATTGAAATATTTAATTATGGGTAGGCAACATTTGAAGATCAAATTTTTAATGATTCATTTCAAATGAAATACCTTGTATTCTAAATTTGACAAAGGCGTTCGATAATGTAATATCTGAAGCATGGAGATCAGTGATTGCTATTTTCACAGACTTTATTTTTCTGTGTATTAAATTAAAAAGTAATATATTATTTATTAGAGTTATACACATCGATATTTTGGTTTTTATTTGATAATATTTTCTTGACATTTTTGCATAATTTCAACTACAATACTTAATACAAAATTAAAAATTATACGTTCCATTTGTTTAATCATCCAATTTAATTTACTTAACTTTTGTTTTTAATTTCTTTAATGAAAAATGCTTCAAAAATTCACAGTCACAGGCACCCCGAGACTCGAACTTTTGCGGTCCGGGTGCCTGTACAGTCGTTAGGGCAGTCGCTCGGATTGCAAAAGGTTATGGGTTCAAGTCCCATCTAGTGGTATCTGGGACTGGTGAATTTTAAAGCATATTTCACTAAAGATATGAATATAGCATTGTGAATACAAACACTATCAAAATCTCTTACTCCTCACTATTTCCAATTCATTAATTTACGTTATCTTCTATCTACTCTCTTCTATCATCTACGATG